AGGAAGAGCACAGTTCAGTAATTCTTTTATCCAGTGACATTTTTAACATCTGTGTTTTTCAAAATCCTATCAATTGTACATAAGGTTCCAGTATTTCATATGGGAAGGGTGGAAGTTTTAAGGATATGTAACAAAATGCCATAATAAAAGGACTCCAGCTGGGTATTTAGCTTGGCTGTAGTGTCTATAAAATGTTAAGCTTATAAATCTTTGTGACAAAAATTATCTTCAAATAGTAACTGGACCACATTTCAAAATGTTTATTATGCATGATTCTAAATACCTACAGTTATTTGTATTCCGAGGAAATAATGTTGTGATCCATAAATTCACTCATTAGCTGTTTCAAGCAAAATACAGATGTGCCTATAACAAACCAGCCACATTTCTGCTTCTATGTGCTTTTGTGCCAAACAGGCTCTAAATTTAGCACAAACTTTTGGTAAGAGGAAGAGAAATTAGTGTGTGTAAATATGGTTAGCACCTTCCTCATTGTTCTCTTTCAACAAACAATATTTAAAAGCATACTGTGAGTTTTCCAAATTATTTTACTAAGAGGTGTGAATCTCATTAATAGTTAATCCAGTACAAGATACATTTGAAGCTAATTGACCTCTAAATATCAGTAGTAAAGGCATATCTTGACTACAGTCACCAGATGTATGAGATACAGACATTCAAAAGCTCTTTCAAACTACAAGTAACCTAATAGTTTTCCTGGATTTCCAGGGAGTTCCTTATGCATGTTTTTTGATGTCTTTAATATTCTGAGATAATATTGTTGGCTGCATTTTCAATTTCTGTTCCTTATTTTTACTGGAATTTCAGTGGAATTCTTACTTGTATCTTCAGATGTCTTCAATGGTCCAAGATGAATTTTTGTCTGAACTTCTGAAGGTGTTGATATTGAAGTTGTTCTGCCATTTCACTGTCAAATACTGGAAAGCTGTCACAGTAATTTGGCCAAAAAAGAAGTGCTTAATGTCAGTCCAATTAGAATATATGCAGTCACTGCATTTTAGAAGATACACTTATTTGCAGTTTTAATTAATTACAAAAATGATATGCCCTAAGGATTAGCCTTCTGTCCTGCTAAATAGTTTTTCTGGATTTTCTACAGAAAAATCTCTTTATTATATCGGTTATAAAAAGACTGGTAACAAACCAACTTGCTTTTCCTTTATGTATTCACACATTTAGAAAGGATTAGGAGTGGCCACTATTTTACAGCTGTTTTTAGACAAGAGTGCCAAGAAGATGATCATATTTTCTCTGTCTATCCTCTTCTTACTTAATTGTCCCAGTTTAGAGAAATCCTCCAGATCTTTTCTTATTTATGGCTGAAAGAGCTTAACTCACAGATATATTTGGAGATTGTACTGTATGTGTGCCTGTTTTATGTAGCTGATACTCACATTGGGTACATCATATTTGCTACCTGTTTGAGAAGAATAGAAATGTCTATTGTTCATTAACATTTTTTATTTTCTTATATTGCCTAAGGAATGGCAGGATTTTTTTGGTCTTGAAAAATTAGTGGAACATATTTCAAATGACATCCTGGCACACACTCTTTCTATTCCTCAATTTGGGTACATTACGTATTTTATTTGCGTGCCTCTAATTATTTTTTCTGCAAAACTGCTGTGTAACACATCAAGTCTTCAGAATGGATGCCTCGGTAATTTTGCATAAAAGGAAAAGAAATAGGATGAAGTATCTGTGAGGATTAAGAGGAGTTGGATATTCAAAGTATCAGGATTGGTTTGGATAATGGGATGTGTCAGAGCCAGATGGTTTACAAATAGGACATACAAGACAACAAAGGTCTGCCAGAATTTTATGTACAAGAACTTCCTTTTAGAGATTTACCAAGTAAGCAGAGTATAAATATCTTCTCTCTTGGACCTACTGCTTTTTTGTCTGTAGAGGGATTAGAAAGTATCAGTTTAAGAAAAAATAACCTCAGAGCTCCATTTCCCCTCCCCCAGAAAATCTGGAATGAAGAACTTACTGCAGAAATTGATGGATTTTTACATATTATTTGATGTTGTAATCTTTGTCTGATATCAGTACTTTTCATAAGATAGGCTAGCAAATGAAAAGTCATGGATGAGAGAATACCTGCAGTGTGTAACGTTTGGTTTTGTTCCAGAAGACCTTTGAACATACACAACATGGTGTTTTGATATCGAATAAGACTTTACATAACATAATATCTTTGTCTTAAAGTAGGTAAAATATGTTTGTTTTCCCTTTCTAAAGATACCAAATGCCAGGGATTCCACATTATGATTTGAATACCTTGGCCTAAAAGAACTGGAGAAGAACATAGGTGGAAATTATGGACTCAAAAATTTAATAGAAATGAAATTACATCTTACCCAATTTACCTGCTTGAGGAGAGTAGCATGTGTTGATCTGATGTTCACAGAGATGAGTTCTCTGACTGAAAAGGGGGTTCTCACTGTGTTGAGGAGCACTGTCTACAGCTAATTCTTATACAACCAGACTGTAGTACTGAAGCATGGACAAAATGACTCTCCAACTAGTAAAATTGAAAAGAAGGGTGTTTATTACAGTGCCAGACCCATGTGGAATATTTTCCAAAGACGTGCACAAAGAGTTGCAGACTCCTGCTCTCTATTTATACAGAAAAGGTTTTACATATTCACAGTTTCTAAAGATACATAATCATTACCTGCCAACTTCATATTACAATCAGCTGAATATCCATTACAGCAGCGCAGTTGTGTTCTCTTAATTGGGTTGGTGGGATTTTGAAATAAGGGAGTGGGTGTGTGGGAGGAAGAAAGCCATCTTCCTCCTGGTGAACTCTTCATCCATGGCCAGTTGGCAGGGCTTTTTGATCTGCTGGTCACAGTCCAAACCTCTTCTCATTCTTAGAAGTCCGTAGTATTTATGACTCCTGCACTCTTATAAACCTTCGTATATCACCTGTCATTCCCAGCTTTGTTTCAGTTATCCCCACCTAGTATCAATGAGTGTCCTCTCAAGCTCTAATCACAGTATATAATCTTTGCTAACTATATTTCTAACTGAACCCCTTGACTCAGTACTTCAAATAATGTGCTTGTGCCAAACAGTGGCAAACCAATTGTGATGCACATATAATATTTCAGCTGGATGTAATTTACTCTCTTCTCATGTAAATCTAACACCTGCTGCTCCATAATCATTACAGGAGTGCTTTTATCCTGCATGTTGTACCTATGAGTGTTGTACTAGCCCTCTTGGACTAGTTTAACCTTCTGTGTGTGAAAGAGCAGCTCCTCCCCTTTGCCTCTGTTCTAACTGCTGGACACAGAGGATGAGCAGAGCTGCTCAAGAGCTTCCTGACACCAGCCATCCTGTACTGTCCATGTCTCTCTTGGGGTTCAGAAGGTCAAGGTGACCCCGAGATCATAAAAAGTCTTTGCTTCCTAGCCTGTGCAGCCAAAGAAAGAGTCTGGAATTCTTGGGATCAGTTTCTCGAGGTTGTTTATTCTTCCATAGCTATAACATTCTCTCTCTGACCTTCTGAGGTCCACCCAGCAAGACAGCCATGGCATTCTGCCTGCCCTCTCGAGCAGTGTTTGCCTTTTACATCAAAAGTTACGTATAGTCTGTTTGCAATAAGGTGTCAATATCATCTATGTTGGACTGTGTCTCTAAACCAATAGAAAAGTGTCACCATCACCCCAAGACATGGAGGACAAGATGAAGGAAAAGAAGGCTAGGACACACCCAAATTCCTCCATCTTGACGCCCTGAATTATATTCTAAAAACTCACAAATTTCTAATTTTCCACCCTATGTTAATTCAAATATCACACTACTCAAACCCTTGTGGCTTTTAATTCCTCATACGAGATTGACAGCTTTTTCCACAGGTTAAAATTGAAGCCACAAGTGTTTTTGACTTCTTGTCAAGGTCCCCAAGCCCCCTGCCAGGGTCTCGAGACAGCCAGGGCAGCCAGAGGGATGTTCTGGACCCTGACACTATACTGGTTTTTTTACTTCCTTTTTCTTGAATAATTTTCACAAGAACCCAGGGGAAAAAGTCACATTGTAATCAAATTCAGAGTTTATTCCAGGTCAAAATAAAAGACTAGAAAAACAGGAAAAATAAGTGTTTTCAATAAACATGTTTTTCCTATTTTTTTTATAGTTTTTTCTTCATTTCACAGAACAGGGTGAGTGATCAGAAGCTAATACCAGTGTAAGATTCATGGGACTAAACCCTAGTGCTATCACATAGGCACCCTCTACAGAAGATTACCAAAATAAACACAGAAGTACACCAAATGAAATAATGAACACTAAATTATTCAGCAACAAATAGAAGATGTTGACTTTAAAAATCCTGAAGGAGCATGAGTGCTGCAACATCCATGTCAGAGAAATCCAAAAAAATATGATTCATGAGGAAAACAGAGACAGTCATACATGCAAATTTTTCAATAGAAACAAGATGTGAAACACAAGTAAGGAAATATCCCAGCAGATCACCCTACTTTCCTAAAAAATGCCCAGTAAGTTTGTGGCTGTGTTTTCGCTCTGTTCTGAAGTTACAATTTTCAAACCCAGACTTTTGCTCTTTGGGGATGTATTTATTGTTGCTCTTCAACTAGCTCAACCTACAAGGTGGTGAGAATAATGTACATGCCCAGGCAGCTGAACCAGCTCTTACGTGATGTAATGTAAGTCAGGTATAATTGTTATTTACTTCATCAGAGGATAAAGAACAAGCTGCTTTTCCTACTTTGTCTTCTGAGGCTTCTGTATGAAGCTCTTGCAATCCTTGGCCAAAAAGCTGTAAAACCAGGTTTATGCCCTGCCTCCCTTGGTGAGTAAAGGAGTTATTCCCTTACCAAATAAGTAGGTAAATCAAATAGATCTTGATACTTAGGGAATAGTGAGCAGAAAAGTTGATGTGTGGGCTTGTAATAGAATTTATTAGCGGGGGAGATAACATTTGTACAAACATGCTTGGGTACATGTCCACCCGAAAGTGCTCTTCAAAGGAGGTGGGTTTTATTCCACAGAATTTCTCATTTCCAGCACAGCCTGGGCAGCAGTTCAGGGTTTGTAGAGTTCATGTCTGTTGTGAATGTGTATCACAAAATTCTAGATGTCCCAAAGAACACAGAACAAAGAACACAACAAAGGTCAAGATGTGAGGAGCCATGTGAGTCAGATTGGGTTTTTTTCAACACATTTTTTGATTTTTGTGCCTCAGATACAGCTGTATTCTATGAGTCCTTTTTTGAACTGACTCCAGCCATCTTCTGAAAAGCCTGTAATTATTTTGGCTGAGACCTAAAGTACTGACAGAAGCTGCTGCAAAATCAGAAAGGAGAAATCTCAGCATTGGTATGGAACAACTTCTGGTCCCAAAACGGACCATTCCCTGTGGCCCTGTGCTGCTAATAATCATTGCCTGTTGCTGGACTTAGTAATTATGCAGGCACACCAGGCATCGGCACAATTTCTTAATCTGATTTAGGGAACACGCACAGGAAAAAATTGTTGGATTTTTGTTTTCCTGCATCTGCGAACTCACTGCATGCCCTGCAATCACTGGCTTTGTTTGTATGGGTGGAAAAGGCAGGAGCACACAGCCAAGGACAGGTCGGTAAGATAATTGTAAATCAGTTCATACCAAACTTGAAGCCATACCCTAAGTACTTGTTCAACAGATGGCTTAAAAGGTTCCTCAGGTGTGTCTATACAAGTTCCAGTCACCACAGCACAGGTGCATTGGCTCACAAGAACACAAATGAGCATGAGAGGTGCAACAGAAAGCTGCAGGACAGGACTCAGTGAGATTGAGAAATGGGAAGTCTCTGGAGGTGGCAGGGATCAAAGGCTCTGGCAGCAGTTCTGATTGTTGTGAATCGGGATGGGAATATGACAACGAGTCGAGCATCAGGGAGAAGGGAGAGAGGGGGGAAAATGTTTCAGCTGCGAACAACGTTGATGGGCGGGCAGCCAAAAGCAGTGAACGATTGCATGTGTGCTTGGCATTGGCTCTCCTGGGAGAAGGAGTGGACAAAACAGAAAGAAGGAAGGAAAGAAAACATCAGCAAGGAAACTGAAAGCAAGAGAGGGGTTGCTTGGCTCAGCTCTACTCTACAAATGTCCTCACTAGCAGGCATAGTCCATGCTTGCTCTGATTGCACAATCTGATCTCCGTCACACAGCTTAAATGTTCCACATCCTGGAACTTTAAACAACATGTTTATTTGATTATAATTGCAGATCCTTGGGCACTTTTTAAGGGCAACTAGAAGTCCTCTTATTTCACAGGGAAACAAAAAGGCAGAAAAGCAAAAAAAGCCCAACATTAACACAGGATATTCCCCACCCTGTCATAAAAAGGTCCACTTCCCTTTTTCTAGAATGAGTGTCTAAAAAGCAGATGAACTCTTGCAAAAATCCTTGAGGAGCTGAGTAAATAATGAAACATTCTGTTGGGTTAGGAATAAGTTAGTTTTACCAACAAATTTTGGTTTGCCTTGAAACTCAGCCAAGTTTCCTCCCTGCTGGATCTGTAATACTTTTAGAATACCTGTATTTGCGTGGTAACTAGGACCGAGATCGCTAGTTACTATAAAATTCTGGTTCAGAAGGAAAAGTTTTGTCCCAAATATTTTATTCTCCTGAAATTCATCAAAATAGCACTTAGGTCCTATTCCCAGTTCTGGAAAAATTTTGGAAAACTTGCTGCAATCACACGCATAAAAAAATGTGAGAGCAAAATTGACCATATTGTATTTGGAAAGGGCTGAAGCAGAGGGAGTTTTGGGAAGTTTGTGGAAAGCAGATCTGAAAAAAAACCAACATGCACTTTTAGCACAGATGCGAACTGTAGAAATTAGCTGAATTTTCAGGAGGGATTTTGAAAAGCAGCATTCTGCCAGGGGCTGATTAACTGCTCCGTCATCAAGAGAACTGCTGGGGGACGTGATAACGTGGCTGCTTTCCCCGTCTGGGGCACGGCTCAATAGCTGTAGCTGATAATTGTGAACCAGTTGTAAAAGGAAAACGACTTGGACTCACAGAATGAACTCTTCGTGAGTGTGCGGCCGCGCCGCAGCTCCATGTGGGGAGACACGGAGGGCCCGGGGCAGCGGCGCGGCTGCGGCCCCGCGGTTCCGCCACTGCAGCGCGGCCAAGTCGGGCTCGGGGAGGCACCGACGGCTCCAGAGGAAGGGGACTCAATGAACTCAGTCTTTTCCAATCGAGCTGATTCCGCGAAGCTCTCTGTGCTGAGCATGCGGCGGGCAGTGCAGGGCAGCACATGGGGCGATAGAAGGCTGCCCGCAGAGGGAGGGCAGCGCGGGGCCATGGGATGCTCCCCTCGCCGCACTGCCCCGCGGCCCGGGGCGGCGCTGCCCAGGTGGCGGGGCCGGGCCGCCCCTCCCGCCCGGCTCGGGTTACCTGGGCGGGCCGGCCCGGCCCGTCCCGCCCGCCCTTCCCGGCTGGTCCGGCCCCTTGACGGGAAGTGGGAGCGAGGGGCCGCGCTGGGGCGGCCGAGCCATGGCTGTGCCCGCCGCAGCTCCGCTGCCCTGCCCGCTCCTCCTCGCCGTGTGCTGGGTGGTGGCCGCGGGGATGGCCGCAGGTAGGAGCGGGAAGGGCCGGCGGAGCTCGGGGCCGGCGGAGCTCGGGGCCGGCGGAGCTCGGGGCCGGCGGAGCTCGGGGCCGGCGGAGCTCGGGGCCGGCGGAGCTCGGGGCCGGCCGCGCTGCGCGTCCGCGGTGCCGGCGCTGGAGCGGCCGCTCCGGGCTCCGCGTGCGCCGCTCGGCCGCGGCTCCGCGCACACGCGGGCAGGGATGGAAGGGAAATGCGGGCAGGGATGGAAGCGAAACGCGGGCAGGGATGGAAGGGAAATGCTTTTATTTTGCAGTAGCAATCTTCCGAAGCTTGTCAGCCGTGTGCGAGGCAGCGCCGGCTGCGCGCCCTGCCCTGCTGCTTACCGGGAGCGGGGATGCTGAAAACCTGCTCTCTCAGTAAGGCAGCTCTTGGCACGGTCGGCAGAAATGTTTTAAGCCTCATCTTCGTTTCCTGGGACACTTTCTGCCTTAAAACCCCAAGCAGGACCCTTCGTCCTCCTCCGGTGCCCGTGTCCTGCGGCGGTGCGGGAGCGGCTGTGCCGGGTGCGGGCGTGCAGAGCCTCCCTCGTTCTGTGCCTTCTCAACTATTCCAAACTATTCCCCAGTTTGGAAGCACGAATGTTTAGTTTTAGGAAAGATGCGTGCGCGTCTGTGAGGGCTTCATAAGGACCTGGGTTTGAAGCTTTTCTTTCTCTGCTTATGTTATCCAAAAACTCAGCTGCAGGCATTAACGAATTGTTATTTTTCAACTGTCTGCAATTCGGTTTATCACTATGAAATCAACTTTCAGAAAATTCAGGAGGACAAAATAAAATATGATGAGTTTTTTGCTGCTTTACAACACTTGCGTGGTACTTGATGCAAAGGATTTGCTGATGTTTCCTCATTAGGGCTTTTAGAAATAATGTTTTCTATGCTTCACATAATCTCTGCTGGCTACTGCTGTTCTTCTCTTCTTAGAAGCACCACCGTGGTTTTGCATTTTAAGAGTGAAATAACGGCTTGCCTACATTTTGTAGTTGGTCACTGACCAAAATTGCTACAGAAATTTTAATAACGAGAGCATAAGACTCTATATTTTACACAGAGAAAAATACAAGATTGGCTTAATCTATGTATAAAATCTGAATTAAACCATTAAAACAAGCTTCAGAATTCAGCAGATTATTTGAAAACCTACTAGATTTAAACTTTTTATGCTAATGGAATTTACTGATTAATTTATAAACTGTAAATATTAGCATTTCTTGGTGTGGCTAGTAATCCACAAACTTAAGTGCAATGGCTTCTAATCAAACCTTTTAGAAGGAAATGCTTACAACTTCAGAGTAGAAATCCAGGATGACATTTTTTAATGGTTTGTGGCTATTGCAGGTAAAATCATGACAAGATTGAATGCTTGGAGCAGTGTACTCTTGTTGAAATTTATTTTTTTTTTTAATGTGATCAAAAGGACTCAGTATTTGCAAACTTAATGTCCCAAGGCTGTTCCTATAGCCCGTCCTATGTTTTTGTTAGTGGAAGAGGTAATAGGGTAAGATGTTCTTGCTATGTTCAGTTTTCTCACTGGAGACTGTGTTTTTGCAAGAATAAAAATGTCTCTTTTCTGCTCAAACAGAAATCCCAAAAATTTTAAGTGTTCAAACTAAATCAGTGAATCTTTGTAATTATTCTTATTATCTGTTGAAACACATGGATTATAATGATGCCTGATCTCTACCATTGCCTGTCCTTGAACTATGCAAAGGTCTGAGAGAGCTCCAGAGGTTTGATGAATTCCTTTCTAGATTTAGCTACTCTGGCTTTCAGGGAATGAAAGATAATGGTGACATGGATGCTTTGAGCAGAATTGTTGCTCAAGGAAGCTCTTTCGCTTCTCTGTCTTCCCTCTTCTTTGTGCTAGCAGAAGGAAACAGGGTTGCACTATGACCTGGATGGGAAAACTAATATTGATGGAATTATTTTGCTCTTTTCCTATGAGCTCTCTTGAAGGTTGGGATGGATTGAGCTTGGCTCTCTGGGACAGCAAAACCTGCAGCATGAGCTGATATCTGTTTGAGGTGCTTATGAAACTATTGAGTAATAATGGAATACTCTGTCCACAGACTAACAAGTGGTGGTGGCTCAGTGATGTTACCTGGAGATACCCTGAGAAACAATCTCACTGGGTTTCTGGTTCAACATCTCATAGTACATATTAGAGTAGCCCTTTAGAAAAACAAAATTCACTTTTACGTTCTTAGGGAATTCCCACTTGGTGATGTTTTCTAGAATTGATGTCTGACACGTACTTTACTTTTTCCTGGAAGTTTGTCATTTCCTGTCGGATTTCCCTTCTTTGTTTTCTAATATGATCTTCAAGCGTTGTGATGGGTCTTGAGTAGGCATTGACTCAGTGCACGAGATAAGGAAGGGTCAATGCACAAATGGATTTATCACTGCAACCCTCTCTGAGTCATGGCCCTGCTCTGCTTCTCACTGGCTTTTGTGGGGTAAAAAATGTACCACTGAAGTGTGGCAGCAGTAAATTACTACTTGTCCCACACTGGTTTTGTTCACTGTGCCAGAACATAGCATTATATTTTTAATAGGTAATTGAGAAAGCTATGTGGTTTCCTTGTTGTTTTTTAACATTCTTGCATTTGCAATCTTTGCTTTGCTTGCAATCTTTGCTTAAATTGTGCTTCTAACATACAGCTGTTGCTTGCAAGATGTAATCACTTGTCTTTTTAAGGATTTCTCTTTAAAACTATGCTGATGGGTAAATTTTGGGGAGAACACAGTATAAATTGCTCCACAAAATGTGTGTACTGTTTTCACTAAAGTTTCAGCATGTGATTCATCTTCCCGCAATGTGCAAAAGCTCGAGTACGACAACCACTACATTGTTGCAGGCTATAATTTCATAAAAATTACTTTTCAGTTAATTTGCACATATTTAAATAGTTTGTGTTGAGGTTATAAGAATAACAGAAACACTTTAGTGGGCAGTACTTTATCTGATAGAAAACATGAGCTGGCCAAGCTGAGTAGTTATTTGTGTTCTTTTCTGTCAGAGAGTTAAAGGTCTGCCAGTATTACTAACAGTAAAGTGTGGGCCAACAGGATTGTTACACTGGTAACTCCTTTCTTCCAGGAGCAAAAATTCTTCCATCTCCATCCAACTTGAACTATTCATTTATCCATATCTGTACCCTGAACTGGACATGGAGCCCCCCAGAGAACATCAGCAGTAGTTGCAACCTGGAGTATTCCAGTGACATCGTCATTAATGGGGTTCCTGAGGACAGAAGAGTAAGTACATCACCTCTTTGAATTCTGTGTTCCAGTAAATGTATTAGTGTTACAAAACTCTGTGTGGGAGAGCATATACACATATACAAATACAATTTAAGTATAGCATTTCATTCTTTTCAGGGGATCAAAACCTCAAAAATGAATCGTAACAGCATATGAGATCTTCAGATCAGAAAAATCTGTTGCTGTCTGATAACTGAGTGCTGATGGTAACACAGAAGTGTGTAATAATAATGGGAAAAGTCTCATTTCAGTCTTTGCTCATGCAGCTTTCTAGAAAAAATAGATACAGGGCGGTCTACCTCCTTAAGAGTTGAATGGGAATTTGTGAAGGCTTTTCTCCTTTATTTTTGAACTCAATTTAAAGAGACATGCAGATTTAGCTATGATTTGACAGCATTGCACCTTTTGCAGGTAATGCCAAGAATTAAAATTCCCCCATTTACCCTCTCTGAAATCACAATTATTTATGGTAGGGTTGTGTTTTGAAGACAGTATGGTGCATATTTGTTGCCTGGAACAGAAATTGTATAACTACTTTGTTTTGGGTTTTCATTTTCTGTGTTAGATGGTTTGCAGCCTGGATGTTCTCCTTGCTGTGGATTAGCTGCTGTTTGGTCAGGGCATTGCCATGGTGCCCACTGCTGGGCAGTAGGACAAGTATTTTTACAATTTATTGCCAGTAAGAAAATAAATCCATTATTCCAAACTTTGGGAATTGAAGCCTTTGGTAGATGCCAGCTATGGGGGGGCATTGCTCTATTTCAGATATGGTTGCAATTGATACGATGCCTCTTGAAGCAGTCCTTTGTTGTTGAGCCCTGTTACAGTCTTGCAGCCTGATGCTTACATTGGCCTCTTCATGCTAACCACTGCATTTTTTCCCACAGCTCCAGGATATCCTGGACATGAGTAGGGATGTGGTTTGGCCAGTTTGGATGGAGCATTGAGCAACCTGTTCTAGCAGAACACAGGAACCCACAGCAAGGGGGCTGGAACCAGATAATCTTTAAGCTCTCTTCCAGCCCAAAGTGTTTTAGGATTCTGCGACTCTGGTTTTGCAAACAGCTGAGCTGATTTAATGTCACTACTAAAAGGGAGGTGTTTCATTTTGACACTAATGATCTCTAATAATCTTCATTGGACGTTAGATGAGCCAGTTTAGCCTGCTAACGCAGCAGAAACCTATTTACCTGTTTTGATTGATTCATTAACAAATGAACAAGTAGAAACTCCCCTTGGTTAAAGAGCTGATTAAGTTTTTGGAAGGGTCTAATAGATATTAAGGTCATCAGCAATGAAAGACCTGAGGGTCAGCAGTTTCACAGGACAGCATGAAACAGACTGTACATCTTGCCACATCTTTTTGCTCACAGAGTTCTGTTGCGGGTTAGGATTTTTTTTTTTCTTTCTTTCTTTTCTTTTAAGGAAATTTTCTCCTATTTGTTGCTAGAGATGATAACAACTGATACTTAAAAGAGACAAAAGAAGTGGCCAAGGTGGGGTGAAGGGGTGCAGGTGGCTGCAGCCCCTTAGCTGGGGGTTTGCTTTTGGGAAGGGCAGAGATGTTTCGGCATTTTGGTTCAGGGCTGAGGGGCTGGGCTCGGCTCCAAGCTCTCTCTTGCTCCTGGGATCACAGGCTTCAGTCCCTGTGGGAGGAATTCCCTGCCACTGGGGAATCCCATCTCCCACTATTTTCTTCTGCCATGAGTGAAGCTCTGCTTGTGGGAGCAGCCACTGAACGGGACCTTATTAACAGCCGATGTCTCTGGAAGGGACCCTCACCATCTCCTCGGGTGCCCCAGGGACCGCCCCGAGCCCCTTCCCCTCTGAGGGAGCCTCTCCCGGCCGTGCTCAGGAGCCGGGCTGCCGCTGCCCAGCCCCGCTGTTCCTCTGCCGCTGCTCGGCTGTTTCACTGCACCGTGCCCCCACACCCTGCCCGACAGGGCGCCCCGCGGCTCCTGCTCCGGCTGCGGAGCTGCTGCTGCATTTCGTGTGGCGCCCTGGGGCGTCCCAGCCCCGCCGGGCTCCCCCCGCAGCCATTTCCCCGCCCGGCCCGGCGCCATCGGCGCTGCGGGAGACGCGGCCGCGCTGGCGCCACAGCGCCCCCTGCAGGCGCGGGGGAGCAGCGCAGCCCGGCCGGCCGGGAGCCAGCAGCGCCCCTGCTGGCCGTGCCCGGAACTGCAGCGCAGGGAGCCGGGCTGGCTTTGGGCTCTGCTCGCTGCGGCTGCGGCGGCACTGAGACACACGGACAGGGACGGACAGACAGAGCTGGGTGTGCAGGGATGGACAGACACACAGCTGGGTGTGCAGGATGGACAGACACAGCTGAGTGTGCAGGGACGGACAGACAAAACTGGGTGTGCAGGGACAGACACACAGCTGGGTGTGCAGGATGGACAGACACAGCCGGGTGTGCAGGGATGGACAGACACACAGCTGGGTGTGCAGGGATGGACAGACACAGCTGGGTGTGCAGGGATGGGCAGACACAGGCTGGAATGTACATATAATGTATAGACACATCCTAGAGTGGCATGGATTGTACAGACACATCCTAGAATGTACACATAATGTACAGACACATCCTAAAGTCTGCACAGAATGTGCATACACATCTTAGAGTGTACATAGAATGTACAGACACATCCTAGAGTGTACATATACATACTAGTAAACAACTGTTGTTCCTTTTCCCGTATCTTTGTCTGAAAGTCCTGTTATTTTGGAGTTACAATAATTTGGTGGGAAGGGGGCCCACATTTTCTATTCCAAGGGAGGCTCCCACCTTCCTTGCCAAACACCTGTCTTTTAAACTTAGACAAACCTAATCTGTACATTTGTTTGATTTTTTTACCCTCTTATTAGTGCCAATACTTGTTATTTTTATATATGAGTGGTTACAGCATTCTTTGGCCATAACAAAGATATTTGTTTTGTACCCAGTTTCCAGTTAACTAAAAGGCATTCTCATAGGCCAACAAAAGATGCTCAAGAAAGTGTGTGATAAAAGGGGTGAGCCTTTTTCTCATACAAACATACTCAGAATGGAAGATCATGAGATACTTGGGCTTGATGTGGTGTTGCTGCTTTTAATAGCCATTTATGGGTTTGTTTTGGTAGGTTTTACTTTTGCTCCTTCAATCATCCAAGGATGCTCCTTAAATCATCCAAACTCATCTCACTGCTTTTTGGTTGGTCTTCAAATGTTCTTCATTCTGTTAGTCTTGCCCTCATGTGCACACACAGAGAAAGGTGAAGGTCTGGCCTGTTTATCCTGCTGTAGTATAAACATGCTTATTTTGCATTATTCATGAAGACTTTTTCTAGGATCATTTTTCCCCTTGTTATACTTATTTCTTGATCTCCATGTAGCCTTTGCTTATTTCTGTAGGTCTCAGGGGTAGGAATAGTTCTTCTTTGTGAGTTCTGACTGCACCTGAGAAAGAAACAGCAAAGCTAAGTGATGCTGAGGCTTCCCACACAGTCAGACACTGGTTTCCTTTGGCTTTGAGCTGTAGTCTTTCTGAAGGGCTGTAATATACCCTTACGCTGGTAGGAATTCCCATGTGTCTGAGATGGTATGAGAAATGTTTTGGTTTTCTTCCCCCCATCTAAACCCAGGAATGGAGTAAGAGCCGATTCCGTGTGACGGATGCGCACTTGAATGAGGAAATGAGCCTCAGAGTGAGAAGTGAATGCAAGAATGACAACACCAGTGAGCCCAGCCCCTGGGTGGAGACCTCCCTAATGCCAAAAGGTAATGCCAGCAGTGGCCAGATCCCTCTTGGCCTGAGGAGACATGGCCTTTCCTCTGCTCTTTTAGCAAGAAATCATAAAATGCATCATCGAGAAATACCAGACACAAAGGCTGTTTTATTGATAGAGCTTAAACAGAATGATTATACCACCTTTAAACACAGCTGGGGTCTTCTGATGCTTGAAGTCTTCTGGGCACGCTTGTAAAATTGAACTGCTCTTCCAGAACAACGGCGTGGTTCCTGTTATTTCTCTTCTGTGTGCTTTGAGCTGTAGTCTTTCTGAAGGGCTGTAATATATCCTTACACTGGCAGGAATTCCCATTTGTCTGAGATGGTATGACAAATGCTTTGGTTTATTTCCCCCCATCTAAACCCAGGAGCGGAGTACAAGCTGCTTTGGTTTTGGTGATTGTGGCATAAGAGATAGCTCTGACTCCATTAAGCCTGCTGCCTTCATGACTAACATCTAATTCAGTTTATTTTGTATGATTTTTCTGTATAAACAGAAGCCCATAAAATAGCCTTACAATTGTCCATGTAAGAGGGAGGAATATAGTAAATTTAATAACTTGTTGAATAAATGACTTCAATAATTGTAATAGGGTTCTGTCTTTTTCAAGAGATGAATGGGGTCTACAAATCATAGCAAAATGAATAGCGAAAAAGTATTTTTTGCTGCCATGCAGAAGTAAGGGGTCCACAGCAAAATTGTTAGGAAGCAAACTTTTAGTAGTAATGTATTTTGCTGAGTGCTTGAAGTTAGGATGTACAGCAATAAAATGAACCTCTTGCCTAAAGGTCTGTCTTAACCCAGGAGCATGACTTGATGTGGATGAAAACCACATGTGGTTGGGAGAATCTGAGACCTTATCAAGCCTGTGTGTGTGCCAGAAGGGTTCTGGAAAATTGGGGAGGGAGATCATTAGCACAGGGTGTATGAAACAGGCTGGGGCTTTTAAAAGTGTGTTTGAAAATGAATATTTTTATCTATTTCTTGGAATAGGAAAACCTGTTTCATTTCCCTATACTCTTAGTTGGTGCTTCAGGGAGAATGCAAGCTCGGACTTTCAAAGTAGATCTGCATTTAATATGCATTTAGTTTTTGTTCATGGAGATGTTGCTGCTTGTTGCAAGGAAAAGGTTTCCAATACAATGCAATATGGTAATACAGTGTAAAGAACTCATGCAGAAATGCAAGATTGAATATGAAAGACTTTCTTCCATAATTCCTCTGCCTGGACAATCCATTGACCTATTCACAACTGCTAAGTACTCATTTGTATTGATGTGACTTGAGCTTCCAAATGTTAAATTTTAATGTCTAAAGGTATATGGGTTTCCATTAAAAAGTCAACTTAACTAGTGTTGCTTATGTCAATATTTAAGACTCAGAGGTATTTCCATATTACAAATGCAAAGCAATTATTACTGTATCAGGAGAAGCTAAAAATAGTCAGCCTTTAATTATGGTTGATATTGATGGCTGTAAAAGCATTTAGTTTTGTTATAGTTTTCCCTGCAATTATCAGCTACTTTGACTTATTTTTAAAGTACCTGTAGATTAATAGAAATAAATATTTTCTTGACTCAGTATCTTGTCCTTAGCATCTGGTAACTCTAAGTAGCAATTCAGCCATGGTGAGCTCTGGGATTTGCTGTTGTGATTGGCTTGCCTCTAGAAGTTACTCTGCTCAGATTTCAGCCATTGCAAGCTCTAAACAGCTGGAATTTGTTTGCTGTGCTGAACAGGCAGTGTAGTCTGAGAGGTAACCAAGCAATTTCTGCCTTCCAGTTTCAGTTATGTAAAATGAAATGTTTTACTTCTGGAAACAGCAGAGAAAACTTGGACAAAATAAATCTTAGAGAACATTTCCAACTTGCCTTGCAGGTATTTCGGGTACTGCTGCTGTTGACTTGGGCTGTGTTTGGCACAATTTGGAGTACATGGCTTGTACCTGGCGTCGTGGGGAGAATGCAAGCAGTGACACCAACTACACTTTGTTCTACTGGTTCGTGGGAGATTTTCATTCTCAGCTCTAAAGTGCTCCAGGACTCATCTTTAGTTTTGCATGACACATTCCACTTGTCTGCTTCCTGTTGCTTTTAAAGTTCCCAGGGCATTGTGTCCAAGTTACTGCTCACTCCCATCCAACAGAAAACTGCACCACTGAAGGGGTCAGAAGCTGCTATGGCCAAGACTTTTTGGGAAGTTGACATAACTATTTTGTGTCTGCTTCTGTAGCCCATATTAGCACAGCTGCTATTGCTTTCTATATTTTTCTGTTTGGGCACTTGATTCAAAGAGGGGATAATTAAGAACTAAGCTAGACCAATGTATTAGTTGTTTTTGTTGCAATCCAACAAATTGGGATGTTTAAGTTAGGATTACTCACAATGTAGTGTCAGTTCATAAACCATTGGGAAATGGTATGAAAGCATTAATAACTCTTAGCAGTACTTCTGTTTGCATCTTTGATGTTGTAAATAACTGATTCACCCTTAAAGCTATGAAGAACATCTTTTTATCATCATCATCCCTGCTGGCCCGTAGACAGCCATAAATGATGTCTGTTCCAAAGGAACAGACTTGTGTGAGCCAGATCTTGGCATTGATAGCTGTACATGCTGATCTATGCATACTTCTGTACCTTGATGGGGCTTGTGAAATGCCAGATTGCATTAGCTTCTGTAGAAATAGTGGGGTTTTCTTTTAGAAAGCCCCATGTCGTAGTTTTAAATCAACTTTGTCTTATTAGAGCTAACTGCATAAAGCTGTTGTTCTTCTCCAGTGGCAGTTTTGTAGGCCAGCTGTTCAGTTCAGGGCATTTGGGCAGCAAACAGCACAAAACTTGCTTCTTTCATTAAATGTGGGGGGACTGTTTGTTCCCTGTCTATACTGCTGCTCAAGCTTTGTCTTTGTTATAAGAACAGGAGCAATGCAGGGTTGATTATCTGAATTTCTGGGTACAGGGATACTTACTGGAATAATGCTTTAGATTTGAGCTATATATTTTCAACCTGCCATTAATTTTAATGGAAGATGTAGCTGCAGTGACTTCAAAGTGTTTTAATTCACGCTGCTTTGAAAGAATAACACTTTTTAGATTTAAAAGCCAAAAACTAAGAAAACACTTCAATTTTAGACTGAAAGATACATTTTCCACAATGCCAGTGAGGTGGGTTTTTGGTTTTGTTTTTCCTGGGAGGAAAGACTACTGGTGTATTTTCACTGGGACTTGGGCCACAAAGAGAAGCAAGGAAGAAGTTTGTCTTGCTAACTTCTCTGTTATTGGAAGGGAATACTGACATTTTGAAAAGCAAATCAGGTAAATAGGTAAAACTCAACTATCTTAAGAGCTACGATACTTGAGGCAGAGCTAAAGAAGATTGATCAGCTCATTCTATCACAGAGGTGAAATTCTGCTGACAAGAAGTGGTCCAAATGAGTATATTTTCTAAATATTCTTTACACCTTGGAATTTTTTTCCCATGTGGAAAATGTGAACCAAAGTTGACAGCAGTTGTTCTCTTTGATATAAAGCAAGCCTGCCTCTCTTTCTGCTCCTTGGCACTCTTCACAAAAATAATACTTTTTCTAAAGCTTGAGATAAATTAGAGGCTCCTTGCTTTGCTTAGCTTTACTTTTTTATATGCTATAGCATAGCCTTAAGGCAATATCAGTCTTTAGAATTTGTAGCACACATTTATAAACAAGCCTTCCCCTTGCTGTCCTTTTCTTCTGAAGTTTACAAGAAAAATTTATTCCTCTAGGTTTGATGGCTTGGAAAACCCTAAGAAGTGTAGTAGCTCCTCTGTAGACCAAGGAATCTTTGAATGCGTTTTCAATTTTACCTTCCCAAAAGTCACCAGTACTTATCCTACAATAAGTATTTTGATTACAGATGATGCTGAAGAAGTTAGGCCTGTGTGTGCAAGTAAAAATCCTACCACCCTTGGTAAGTTTAACACCACATCATAAAAATCTAATTAAAATGAGACGTTTGGTAGTATATTGTGTTTGAGAAACTTCACCTCATATAAAGTATGGATGAGACAATGAGATTAGATGCTCCTTTCTTCTACTGACCTTTGATTTGAAGAGTTTGTCTTCTGTGGGTGGGTGTCTGGGGGGAAGGGGGAGGGGTGATTTTCTATTAACTTCTTTAGTTGGATTTACTCTTTTTTGTACTTACTGGTGCTATCTTCATCCTCTTTCTCTTCTTAATCTGGTGTAAGTGTAATATTCTGCAATACAGGACTGAACAATTTTTGTAAGCGGTGAAATAGATTTTTGAACTAATTCTTCCATTTTGCATTTTAGTAAAACCTGCCACACCAAGACAATTAACATTGACAAAGACTAATGATAGAATTGATGTAAAATGGAGTGAATCAGAAACTTTCCCAAAAAGTTGTTTACTCTATGAAGTTAAATGTTGCAATGGTGATTTGGACATTGGTCAGATCATTGCAGTAAGTTTTTTCTTTGCTTTTTTTTTTTTTTTTTTTTTTTTTTTTTTTTTTTTTTTTTTTTTTTTTTTTTGTATTTTTTGTGGTTGAAAATGAGCAGTTGCATGTGTTGCATGTGACTGGGTCGGGTGCCAGAGCTGGAAGTGCTGTGTGAATGTAGGATTTTTCTCTTACACTGTAGGTTTATGTTAGTAAAAGCTGTACATCAAAATTCATGCAAGTCTTGTGAATCCTTCCCATCATTTGTTAGGGCAAAATTGTTAATGTCTGAGAACAGCCTGATAAACAGGGATTTACTAAACTATCAGGAAATGGTGCCTGTCTTCTCAGGCGTATGAGCTTTGGTGTTTTGTTGTTGGCTTTTCTTGCTATTGGTCTCTGTGGTCATTTGGCAGCTTTGGATTTGAATGCTGTGACCTGATTGCCCTGAAGAAAAATCAACTGCTGGTGCAGACAAGAATAGACTCTCACAGAGAAAAGCAGGGGGATAAACACTGAGGATGGAGAGGAAGAAAGAAGTGTGCACCCTCAGATACCCTGATTTTAGTGTGCACATAAAAAGCATTGAGTTCAGTGTCTGGATGGACTCGTGCTGTATGTCCATAGCCAAACATTGTACTGTTTGATCAGAATGGTAAATACAACGTGATAAATTTCAAAGTGAGTGGCAGTCTTCTGTGGAGCATGTTTAGTTGTTTATTCTACTCCAAACTCGAATGCTAGCAATATTCCTCAGAAAACTGGTCTTTTGGATAAAAAAATAAATGCAGTTAGATCCTATCTAGTGTGTGCTCTTCTTTGTAGAGGCATCACAGAACACTTTGGTATGGTTGGTTATGCTGCCCTGACAAGAAGGGAAGGCAGGATAAATTACAGATGTTTCTCAGAAGAAGGAAAAAAAAATTTAAAAGGCACTGTTCCAAATGCTAAGTCTTAGTTTAATCATTGACGCCAAATGCTGCATGATTGATGTAGCAGTGGATGAGATTAAATCTTAGCTTTGGAATGTGCATTTAGGCCCTCTGTGCTTGTTAAATGCCATTATGTCCTATTTTTAATGAGGTTTCATAGTCATAAAAAGGTCTTTCATCAAAACATTCAGAATACATTAGCTGCAAAATGTAAATAGTCTTGGAAGTGACTGAGAATATGTTGGTAATTGAACAAAACAAATTACCTCTTCTTTTTTACCTTAGTCTGAAACGAATTCTGTGTCCATTGCTGGCATTGATGCTAACAGCAAGTACACCTTCAAAGTGAGAGCAAAACCAAAGCGGGAGTGTTACAACAGCAATCTCCACAGTGACTGGAGTGAGGAGAAGAGCATTGGTGAGAGACTTGTCCCTGCATTGTGTTGCACTTTACTCTTCATCTGTGAGGCATTTAATAACTTTTTGTCTGCTAAATAAATGGGAGTCAAAGATCATCTCCTTATGTACCTATTTAATTTTGAGTGAAAAGAGGGCAGAAGGGCTCTACTCCTTCAGCAGCAGCACCACTCCCAGCCTGTGCTGCTGTTGATAGTGGTGCCATTTGTGTAGATATGCAGTGTCCCAGTGTAGCCAATTTTTGTGCCCTGAGTCTTGCTCATTTGCATTTCTTTGCCAAACACATCTACATTATAATACCATCTTTGGAAAACAAGCCTCTCCTTGCCTACAAAAGTGTAGTGTACTTGAAAAATCACTGAGTCTATCAACAAATTGCATAATTTACCATTTTGTTATCATTATTCTTAAAAAGCCTCTCAAAATATCCCTAAGTCTCTACAATTTCTGTTTTCCAGGTGAGAAGAAGGACTCTACAATCTATTTTGTTCTAATAATTACCATTCCATTAATAGTAGCAGTATCTACAGTAATTCTGCTAGTTTATCTAAAAAGGTAAATATTGATCTCCCTACATTTGCTGCTGTCTTTGTCAAGATGGAAGTTTTTTAGAATCTGTCTGTGTCAATGTTCCCCTTCTGTTTTGGGGAGTAAAAATAAGAAATGGGTAGAGTTGCACAGAGAATGAAGGCTGGCCAGTAATGACAAAGTTGACTCCACAAATTTTCTTGACTACCCAAACATGATTTTGACATTTTTAAATGATTTTGTGGTTTTTAAATGATTTTTAAATTTATATATCTTTCATCTAAACATTTTCTTTTTAACTTCATGAAGGCTGAAGATATTAATTCTCCCACCAATTCCGGACCCTAGAGAAATTCTTAAGCGAATGTTTGGAGAGCAGAATGAGGATTCCCAGGTTAGTAAGAAGCTGTTGGGTCAACAAATCTATTGAACTGGGATCTCTAGGCTTGCAGGGCTTTTTTTCCCTGTCTGTCTTATAAATAAGTGTGTATAAGGAAGTATGACATATGAAGATTTAAGTATTTTACAATACTAGTAATTGTTCAGGAAAAAATTCCCAAAACTTACTTAGATTTCTTCCCCCACCCCCTTAACTGTATGTACTTTTTCTAGTTAGGCTAATAGAATTGCATTATTCTGTTACTCCAGACTGCTAATCCCTTAAATTTGCTTCAGGTTGGGGTTTTTTGGGTGGCAGTTTTCTGATTGTCAGGCTTCTTTTGCTGTGTGCGTTTTGGTTTGAGGATTTTTATTCTTGTTTTTGCAACTCCATTAAGTGACTTCTACTGAACGTGCATGTCTTTTTCTGCTACTTAATCATATTTATGATGCTGAATTAAGCTATTTGTGTTTGACTTCCAGAAACTAACATTTTTAGCACTCTCACATTTATCAGTCTGTTAGCTAGAAGTCAATCAGATATATAGCTTCTTGTTGGCAGAAGAACAAAACCAGCTATAGTTGTTTCAGACATTGGTTGATGAAAGACTTGCAGTGTGCCTTTTTTCGGGGAAAATAAACATAATACCAATAAAGAAACTTCTTTCTAAATAAATCTCTCTCAGTAGCCCTTTGTAAAAATCCTAAGAGAAGTACACTGACAAGTCTTAATTCAAACCTTGACATGAATGGTCTCCCAGGTGGGACTTTTGGCCACAAGGGCTGTAACTGTGGTAGCTGTTAAACTTTGTTGTGCTTTCACAAATGTTTTGTTACTGCCCCAAGTAATTCTCTCTGTGTGCTCAGTGAAAACTGTACAAAGTGTTTACGTGCTCAGTTCTCCATCCTCCTGCTTGATCTTCACCCATTGGCTGTAGTTGGAAGCACCTTTAAGGTGGGGACCAACCTTCAGTTCCTCATCTCCAGAGGACATCTCTTCTGTCAGCCAGGCCTAAGCCATGGCTCTGAAAAGCACAATTTGTTGCCCAGCTACCTTGGCTTTCCACCATAATGCAGGGTATATGTTTGGAGCACAGGTCTGTCTTACTGGGTTGAAAAAGCAACACTCATCACAAGGAAATACTGTTAAAATTGTTGTTTCTCTCTTTCAGAGTTCTGCAAAGGATGATCCCATAAATACTTTTGACAGGTTAATTATAGAAGAAGAAATTCATTCTTTAATTTTAACAGAAACTTCAGAGAGCAGTAGTCCTGAAAAAGAAAACAGGTAGACTCTGCTTTATCAGTGAAAGAGGAGGAAGCTGATTGCTGCTCCTGTACCTCAGGTGACTGTAGATGTGAAGAGGCCTGTGAGGCACTGGCCAGCTCTGACCTCACTGCTGCCTTCTCTGGTGCACAGAAGATTCATCACTAACAGTGGCTTCCATCTGTGCCAGAAATCTGAGCTCAGTCAAGATGAGCATGTGTGCAATTCCATGGGACTGGACTGTGGGTTCCCTGTCCTGGCTTCAGCCAGCTCTGCCCTGTTACTTGCCACTTGCACCTGTGTTTGTGCCTCACACCAGACTGTCAGGGTTTGTTTGGTTTGTTTTGAGCAAGCACTGTGACTTCTCTGAAGTATTTGGCTCTGTTTGCAGTAGGTGGGATGGGTCATGAGTGCTACCATGTGGAGCTGCTGCCAGGTGGGATGGTAGGGCATGGACTGCTTGTGGATAACCCTTTGTGTGCCTGGGCTGGGCACTCTCTGGAGGGCACTTATGGACTGAGCTCGTGCTTCTGCCCATCAGCTGGGACTTGGACAAAGCCCACCAAAGAGGGTATTTTTTAATTTGAAAATGCATATGAAAAGCCTCTGCTTTCCAGCTGGTGTTCAGAATATTCATAAAAAAAGCTTAGTTTTTTATCCTGTCAGTTGCCTGTCATCAGATGCCTTGCCTTCATGGACTTCTTGGGTTAATTACACTTTGTTTAAAATGAGAAATATATATATATATTTTTTTTTTAACTTGTTCTGTGGAGTAGCAGATAACTGTATTGAGTCTCACCAGACTGTGATTCTACTTTGGCCATATTGGCCTGAAGACACCTGATTTTTAGCAGCTAAGTTGTCCTGAGCCTGTCCGGCAAAAATATCAGGATGGATGCATGAGTCTTAAGGAGCTATGGTCAAACTGATTAGCAAATATTAAACCACTGAAGCCCAACTAATTCAAAGGCTTCAAGACTCATCCTTTCTGCCAAACTGATGGATTTGGGAAATAGAGGATGACAACCTTGGCCCATTTTCTAAGAGAAATGTTTTATTCTTTTTATGGTGATGAGACTCTGATTTGAGCTTCCCCTCTAAGACTTAGCAATGTAAAACAAGGTGCTGATTTGACTTTTTGAAAACCGTTTGACAGGTGTATTTGTTGTTGTTTTGTTCATTCATTGAAGGTTTTGTTTTGAGGGTTCTTTACCCAGCAAAGCTCAGCAGGTTTTTTCTGGACAACTGTGATATTTTTCTGCTCTGTATTCTTAGCATTAGTTTCTGCCCTGTGCTGCAAGGGTGGTTACAGTGGTACCTTGATTCTGCTGGAGGAAGATGATGGAATGGAGAGAAAAAGATCTATGGAAGCCCTTTATGGTTAGTGCTCAGGGATTTCTTGCTCCTTCCAGATAAGAGTAGACATGTGAGTCATGGACATAGGCAGTCTTAGCAGACTGGGATGAGATCTCCTGATAGGCTTTCTAGGAGCAGACTTTATAGCTACTAACCTTTTAAAGTTCATCCCTATCTTCAAACTCCATTCAATCAAAAAAGTGAAAATAAATGCTACATTTTTAGAATATATTGTTCTGCAAGAAGTAGAACAAGTGCCATATGCTTTTTAGCTACAAATGTGCATCTTTTATACACTTATGCATTCCCCCCTTATCAATAAATCTAGTTCTTTAGCCATTGTCCACTGGGCCTCTCAAATACAGTTTTTTCCATGTCTCTTTTCCTCCTTTTGTTTGTGGTAGAAAGGGGAGGAGAAATGTAGCAGAATTAGCAGACTCCCTATTAGCAGATGCCTTTTACCTCCAATCAGGCTAAGAAAACCCCAACATTCTAAAAATTAATAAATGAGACAAAATAAAAGTAAAGCCTCAGGGATTTCAGTGAGAAAAAAACTCAGGTTATACAAAGTCAGCTAGTAGCACTCTCTGAAATTCAAGAGATTAAGGAACAGCATGAGGAAAAGAGTAATTGCATTCCTTGTTGAATTCATTCCCTCTGCAACATTGATGTAATTATAATGATAGATATTCCTTCAATCTACCTCATCTGGAATGTTGCTCAGCATAGACCACTAGACCCAAATGTAGTTTCAAGATAAGTAAGCATAACAGTGTAATATGAAGTTTTGTAGCTTTCAGCGTAGCAATCTAGGAAAATCAGTACTTACCCCTAAATTCTTTTGACTATTATGCTGGTGTCTATGACAAAACCAAAATTCATTTGCATTTAAAAATAACCAAACCAACAAAAAACACCAAGCAAATTCATAAAGCCATAGGAGCGAAAAAAAACCCAATGGATGGAAGGTGTTAGGCCAAAAGGAAGACTTAAATGCTAAGGTGCTTTAAGTCACTATATGGAAAGGTTTTGAAAAACACTAGCTGACACTTCCTTATGGATTCATTTCTTGAGCCTGTGTTTCAACATGTAAAGCAAGTGTCTGAGTATACTTTCACGTTTAACATGGTTTTTTTGAGGTAAGAGGTTTTTTAGCTTGAAATTATCTAAATTTTGCTATAATTTATTTTTTTTTCATTGCAGTTACTTGATCTGTAAATTTGTTCAAAGAGTGAATAAATATGATTGAATGCTTTTCAGTGTAATGGCATGGCATTTTGTTCTTGGGTTGAGGAGATTAAACTGAGGCCAAAAGAGATGGATTTTTAATGAGAAACCACGTTTGAAGCATGCAGATCCCAGAGAAGAAAAGCTGAGTTGCTTTGCCCTCTTTCCTTTTAAGAGTGAGCTCATCCCACGCACCCACCGTGGATGGACTGCAGTGCTTTTGGCTGGGAGGGTGGAACAGAGATGGAGCTGAGCACAAGGTTTGGGCTCTCACCCTCTCTTCTCAAGGCCATTCTACTTTCTGATGTTGGCAAGTTATTTTAACACCATAGAGACTTAATAAACCATCAAACTGGAATTTGAAATTGCTGCAGCCTTCCCCAGTGTATCTTCAATATTTTACATCTTTGTTAGCTGCTGAGGTTATTGAAAATGCCAGGTTGCTAAACTGCTGAAAGCCATCAACTTGTCACTTAGACCCAAATATATTCAAGTGCCAAATAAACACATTGGTAATGGCTTCTTGGAAAGATTCAGAGAGAGAATTCTTAGTTCCCTTCAGTGAACAGATCATTCAAAATTAAGATATAAACTATGACATCAAAAACAAGACTTTCATGTCTCTCCTTCATAATTCTACAGTTTTGGTGGTAATAATGACTAACAATGATTTTAATCACTGCCTGTAAGTGACCTTTTCCCATTTCAATACTTTTTGTTAAATAATCTAAGCCTTCTGTATTTGGCATAATTGAGAAATTGAACAATTAATTTCTGGTTTTTTTGTTCATTTTTTTTGGTTAAGGAATGACATGACAGTTGAAAAAAGTTCTAGAGGAACACACTGAAGTGTAAGTCATAGTGTTTCAAGTGCTTACTGGGTAGAACTATTCACAGGTGGGGTATTTCCATTCACTGGGAAGTATTCAATAAACTTATTTCTGATGTGGAACTTAAAATACTCAGAATTTCCTTTGGTTTTTTAAAATTAACAACAAATAACAGAATGAATGTTTTGTTTTGGAGGGTTTTCCACTCACTCAAGCAAGAACAGGATGTAGGTGAGTAGGGGGTGGAAGTCCAGATATGGTCAGGATATTGCAGAAACCTCCCTCCCTCCTTCTCACCCTGGTGCCATGGTCAGGCAGCAGCTGAGATCTACGGGCCCAGGAACAGGCAAGGTGGGACTGGAAGGAGCAGTTCTGCTCAGTTACTGAAGGCTCATCAAGATTATCCCCAAATACTTCAGTTTTAAACAATATTTGAAAATACGTTTAAGGGGAGCACACCCCATGGGTTGCATTGCCAGCTGTAGAAATATAGCTTCTAGATAATACTGATAATCCAAATGCAAAAACCAGATTAAAATCTCTCTATTTGGATGAAGTTCTTGCAAGCTGTTGAATCAAGGCCATAGCAGGAGGCTCAGATCACATGGTATAACTAAACCCACACTGTTACCACAGCAAAGCAATGTGGGTTTGGGTGGGTGGCACGGGGAAGGGAAACTTTCTTTCGGGTCCGGAAACTCTGTCTCACGTTTCAAACATGTAAGAGCCTGCAAACTTGTTGATGACTTGTGGGGGTTTTTTGGGGTTGGTTTTTTCAATCTGTTTTTCCAATATGCTGGTCGGGTTAATGTAATCCTGTCTCTTTCTTTGTAAACCTTGTGGTGTTTATCACTGAAGGACCCCTTCTATGGCCATTCTCCGATTATTGCTTATTTTTCTGAAGATAGTATTTCAGTGGGGAAAGACAACTGCTGCTGTCACCACAGGGTTGAAAACCAGCCAGTGTATTCTAGTAATAGTCTCTGCTTCTTGTTTGGCTTTTGCTAAAATACTGCAATTATTTTGATGGCTCTTGCACAAAGCAACTACAAAAAGATAACTTTCCAATTAACCAGGACTTTCAGTAATCAGGTTCTTAGCTTGTTATAGCAGTTTCCCTCTATTTAATTTGGCTCAAACAGCTAAATAAAATAGTAGTTTATTTTGGCTAACTGCATGATGAGATTAAAAGCTTTAGTGAGAAAGGATGTTTTGTTAAACTCAGGTACTATCACTTTTTGGAATCTCGGGCAAAATTTACAAAGCTAGATCAAATGTTAGGGGCAACTTGAACCAGGAGTTAAGCTAAGGCTTTAAAAGTAGAGCTGCCCCTACATCTTCTGTGCTGAAAGAAAAAAAAAAAAAAAACCAAACCAAATTAAATATGTGCTCCATAGTGGGAAAAATAAGTTGTGCAAGGGGCATGCTGGCCTAGTGATTTACTGAAATTGATATCAGCAATTTCTGTCTCAAAGTTCTCTACTCCAAAACACGACAACTGAGCTCTATTTAAGACACTTAGGTATGTCATTGTCGCTTCTTTACCTGCTGTAGCAATAAAACTGTTTTTTTTTTTTTTCTAAATGGCAGAGAGCACCAAAATTAGCTTTTTTGCCTGTTGGAGCTTTTCCCCCTCCTGTACTTCAAAGCCTTTTAGCCTCACTAGTTTCCTTTCTTCACACAAAATGTCAGTATGGAAACTTCTAAAATACCAGCAAGGTACTCCTAAAAGTTGTGAAACTGCCTGGTCCTCCAAATGTCAAACTCAGCTACAGGGAAAGCTACTCAGGGTATGGCTATTCAGTTTTAATATCACACCCTGTCATGTTCTAGGAGAATATTCAGCTGTAGACAATCTTGCCTACATTGGCAGGTACTAAAGACTGAGCCATTAGTTGACATTTTTCGACAGCTGACTTTAACGCACTTTTCTTGCCAACACTTTGTCACTTTTTAACTGGGAGGTATAAAAGGTAGAAATGCTAGCAACATACCAGGCAGAAAGGGATAGGCCTTTCTCTATGTGGGATTTCAAGGACTGTCTTTGAGCTTGGCTTGGAGTAAAAATAGTTTCTAAATCCTTGGGAGCCCCAGGCCATTTTACTAGGTGTGTAACAGTAATTCTTTCATTTACAGCCTATATGAAAAATTATATTGATCATCCATTTCTTAAAGCTTGGGTAGGGCTGGAAGAGTTGTCAGGGCATCCCCTGCCATGTCTTCCGAGTTGTGCCAAGACAGAATGTTCTTGGTGATCTGTAAAACTTGTAAAAAAACTCTACTAGAGAGTCTCCCAAATATTTTGCCTCACTGTTTTCTCTTTAATTAAAAACCTCCCCCACCAACTGACCTGCTGTTTTTTACTGCAAATAAAGTTGCCTTTTTCCTTGTCCTCCTCTCACCAGAATCTTGTTTGCTCTTTGATCATGCTGCCTAGTTCTGCCCCTGATCTTTTCTGCTTTGAGAAAAAAAAAGCCAAAAAGCCTGAATCTTTAACTCTTGTGTTTTCCAAATAATTTATTGCCCCATTGGTCTCCTCTAGAGCATTGCCCTTGAAGCCAGACTGCACCATCCCCAAGCCACCAGAACAATTACATTTTTTGGCTGTCAGTCCTCTCTTCCCCATCTTCATCCAGAAATCATAGCTGCTACTTTCTGTGGCAATAGCTTACTGTGGAGCTGCACCTCCTTTCATGGTTTTCTATGATTTCTGGTCTTTTCAGGAACATTGCTGCCCTGTCAGCCCCTCCTCCCTGTAAAATCCCCTTCTCCTGCCTAGGGGGACTGCTTTTGATGATTTTATTGGACCACATTTTTGTCACTTGTTTTGCTTTGTAAAACTGCTGCACTTTTTAACCTCATAATTGTGTCCCTAAATATCCTTCTAACCATTCCTCCTTGGGTATCTGTCCACAGAGGGTCATCTTCCAGTTGATCAGATGGTTTCAAATGCTGAATAAAGCTGCTACCCTGACAGATCCCTGCAAAACAGCAGCATTTGCTGTCCTGCTGGGTGGTCAAGTGCTCTTAAGGAGTTGGTTTTTGTTGTTTTTGTTTTGGTTTTTTTTTTTTTTCCTTAATAGCCGCATATCTGTCTCTGTGCTTAACTTTTATTTCCTCAAGATGATTAGAAGGATGTTGCCTCATATGTTAAGCTTATCAAAAAGGGAAAATAGACTAGTTTGGCACAAGCTGTCCTTGACAGTGGTAAAAATGCAAAGAAGGGATTAAGAAAAAATTGTTCCAGAGTCACTTTAGGGATAAAAGTTGGACAAATGGACCATCTCTTGGATGCTTCATTTCTGAAGACAATATAATATTTGTCCTTCAGATTTTAGACTTCTGTTTTCTACAGACCTCAAAGAAAACTGCCCACATTCCAGGTTATATCAGTGTTCAGATTATTACATGCTGCAGGATTAATAAAGTCCTGCCCACCTGAAGACATCCACTTCATCTGATTGTTCTCCAGCCTGTTTGTCTAAATGTATTTGCTTGTTAATTTTCTCTGCTTAGAGATTTTTTTTGTAAAGGCTAAAACAAACCAAAAACTGACTACACCAAACTTCACAGCAGTACATTCTGACCTTTCCCATCTGGTATTGAGCCCGCAGTTCATCTTCTTTAGCCTGTAGTGTTGTCAGACTCCCTTTCAGAGTCTTTTGGCCCTGGTCAATCAGGACTTGGTTGAGCCTGTTGTTTTCTGGCCCTCAGCCCTGTCGGAAGCTGCAGTTCAGGGCCCCAATCCCAGTGGGGTGGGCTGGAGGGCAGAGAAAGGGCACACTCAGGGCAAATGAAAGTCATCAGTATTCACCCAGATAGTGTCACAGATTACAGCAGAGATAAAAAAGCCTTTCTTCAGCCTGCCAAGCTAGACTCTTCCTTTTGCATCATTTCTTTCTCTACCTAATACAGTTCAAGTGCCTGGTAGGACTGCAGAGAGGCAGAGCTCTGCTGGCTGCTCCTCAACTCCTTTCCAACATGCAGCTTTCCCCTGCCCAGATTGCTCTCAAGGTGGCTCAGTCACTCCTAAAGAGCTCATTGACAGAGAGTTCGGGATGCTGTTGTGCTCATACAAGTGCCAAAGCTGCACAGTAACTCCTCTTGATGCACCTGAGTTTTGCAGTGTTCATTTAATTCACACCATTTCCAGAGCTGGGAACAGACACAGCAGCTGAGCAGCCCATGAGGTTTTGTGTATGTCAGTAACACTGGCTTTAGCAGATGTCTCTCCTTGGGTGACAGAAGTGTAGTTTGCAGAGCCTGGAGCTGATTCAGCTGCTGTACAGAGTTCCTTCCTCTTGAGGAAATGTTAACAGCCAGCCTGGGGTGGGGAAGCAGCCGAAAGCTTCCTCAAGTGCAGAGCAGATCTACTCCAGCTCTTTCCTTTCCTGCAGGTTTACAGAGACAGTCCAGAAGGGCTGTGCTGCCAGGGTGTCCAGAGCACACACAGCTGTGGCATTCCCAGCCCATTCAGCTGACAAGCAGCCAAGGAATTGGCTCCTATCCCACCCAACCTGGGGCTCAGCCCCAGTCCTGGAGCACAGCGGGGGGAGAAGGGACAGAGACCCCCTTTTTCCTCATTTTCTACAAACCCATGCTGCACACCATGTTGAAAGCCAAGAGAAGCTGCAATTGGTGGCACAGATGCTAATGGAAGCTCATCTACTTCTCCTTTACAGTTTCTTGAAAAGAGTAAACATGACTGTGGAGAAGACTGTTGGAAAAGCAAAACAACTTACAAGAAGTAAAAAGGAAAGAAATGGAAAGAAACAATCCAACATGTTTACATATATTAGTTTGTTTATTTCTATTCTCTGCTTTTCAGTGTTGCACAACTTCTCAATCACATTAATCAAAATTAGTAGTACCTTCATGATCTAAAACTTAGGAACTTTTATATACTCACAAGTATCACTAACTCTGTATGTTCTACCTTCCTCCAGTCTTTGAAATTAATGCTGAAAACCCAAGAAACATGCACACGTAAGGTTTCAGAGCACAGTTCTTTGGTCAGGTACAGGTGTTCCACAGTAAAGAAATGTGCTCTGATATTATTTTGCCCTCAGCAAATACACAGCAGCAATAATGGTGATGCCTTTGACATACTACAGGAGTAATGACTGTATCTTAGCTTAACAGGGCAAAACTATAATTTTGAGACTCAAGATCGAAAATCAATTGGTTTCACACTTGTGTTAATGAACACTGAATGAAGTAAAACACCAAGTGGTTTCTTTACAGAGGACCTTTGCTCCAGTCTGACAGTGCTGGATTGGCAGGGAGGAGCGAGACAGGCAGAGTGGTAGAATCACAGTAACACTGCAGCATTTCAGCAACTCAACTCCACATATTAAGTTCAGTGTTATTTAACAGGATGGTGATTCTACAGAATGATCCAAAGTAGTAAAATTCCAAGTCTGCTACAGGCATTGGATATTCACCAGCTGCACAAAGAAAGCCTGTGCTGCCAACACTGGCACCCCATTCTGAAAGAGGAAATATCTCTCCTTCCCAGCTTTTGCCATGAAAAATTTCAAACCCTTGAGTAAAATAAAATTATATCCTTTAATGTTTTAAAACATTATCTACATTCCACATTATTCTGACATTTCCTTTAGAGTTAGGTAGTCTTAACATATAAGAAGACATTATTAATGCTTTATGTTTAAAGCATAAAGTACTAAGCAGTGCAATGCCACCAACAGCCTTTGGCTCAATATCTATGGCACGGGGTGAGGGAAGGTGGCAGGACCATCTCACCAGTGTGGCTCTGTGACAATGTCAGCCACATCAGTCCTTTTGTACAAAGACAATTCCTTTAATAATTGCCTTAAGAAAAATGGTTTCATTAAGATTAGACTTCCATCTGAAGTATATGTAAATAAAAAACATTGGCTGACACAGTCAGCATGGCTCAGTTTGGAACATGAAGTATTGAGTCTCACTTCAGAGTAATGGCATCTCACCTTCACATACCCATAAGCAGCACAATAACACAAATAACACTGCAACACTACTCTTCTTGGGTTGGTATTTTTTCGGTTTGCCTTCTGTGGATACTCTGAAATGCGTGAGTTGACAAACATTGCTCCAGAACTAATACTTCTGATTCATATTAAATAGATAAAATACAGTCACATTTAATTGACTTTTAGTTCCAGTGCAATTTAAGTTAAACTACATATTTTAAAACTGTAAACTACACTAAAAAGACACAATAATTTTATTAATTTCATGACTTTTATCTGTAGTTGCCTGTGAACTTATATGTAACAAAATCAATTACATTTATCTGTCAAATTACCATTAACTGAAGATAGGGCACAGACTTGAGGAAAAAGTCCACTGTCCCAGGGCAGACAAGTGAGCTACTAGTTGAAAGAGTTAATCTCCAATTACCAACAGTCTGTTAAAATGTGCCTAAGAATATATCTGTTCCTATAAATTAACTTTATGGGCTTTGGTCAGTAATGGTACAATTTACCTGGCAAGTCTCTGTAATTCTTTCTTCTCAAAGAATTGAATTGAGAGCAGCATTTCAAATGGACATGTAGCCAAATTGAAAAGAGTCCCTCCTTGAAAAAAAATTTGTAACAATCCATTTCTATAAGTGATTTGAGGCTGTTTAACATGGAAGAAAAATTTACTACTTGATTCTGGATCAGCAGGAGACAGTTGCTTCTCAGTACAGGTAAAAAGTTGGCAGAATTTTCCAGTCTTTTGCTTTTGTGGAAGTAGCAGCTTCTCATAGTTGCTGAACTCCTTCATGGTCTAAGAGCACACCTAGAAATGATGTGGCAAACTGTATATCCAGCCATAATTAGCACTTCTTAAAGGCAATTTTCTCTTGCAAAGCTAGAAGCAAGTTCCAATAAAAAAATCCTTATAAAAAGATATTTTATTTCTTGTATTAATGAATAAAATATGTTAAAAATGTTTGGATGCTATACTCACTACCTAATACTCTGTGTACAAAAGCAGACATATAAAAACATAGCACCTGACCTTGCTCAGGTGAAAAGAACTAAAAGTGGTTTCCTGGATCATGGTACTAAAGGCACCATGGTATTTAATCCCTTTCACATTAAGCTTCAAGCCTAAAAAGCAGTTAGGCTGCCTCTGGTACCTTTCACTAAAAAAGATCACTACAGAACATCAAAACTCTAATCCTCAAAATTATTCTTATTTTCAGCCTAAATATTTATCACAGCCCATTAATTCTTTTGCAAACACTGACTTAAATACTAGGAAAGCTTGCCTCTCTTCTCAGTTCTCACCCAAATATATACATTTCCCATGTATGTTTGTGCACAGGCAAAGAAAGACAGCTGAGAATCACTTTGACTACTTGGTATCCTGCCAAATGATCAGCTCACTGTACTGCCTATTCATCCTTCTTGAACATCAGTGACCAAGACACTGTCTCATCTGTTTCAAGACTGAAAAATAAAGGCAACAATTGTCCTTTCCAGTTACATGGATGACCACTACAACTGCCCTAAGAATCACAATTTTGTATTTGTGTCTGCTAGTTCTAGGAAAGTGCAATGTGTAGAGGGTGTATTCAAATTACAGCAATTTTATTTCCCTCCTTTTGAACAATATACATTTGAAAATTAAGTTATTAAATTACACTGGATCCAGCACACCTGGTTCCACTGTCTTGTAGATTTTGCTCAGAAAGACTTCCACCTTATCATCACCCAAGTGACACATGTCCAAGATGCAGATAATGTGTTTGCCATCAAGCTCCTTTGCTGCTTGTACAATTTCATCTAGAAATTAAGGAAAAAGGTATTTATATACTCTGTGAACAATAAAAAGGTGTACAGATAATGTTTTCCGTAAAGTAATGTTCAACCTTCTTTCAGTGAAAAAATTTATTCATAAATTCCATCACTAGAAATGATAGAATCAGAATTAGATATGAGTTTGTAGTTTGGATATTAAAATACGGTCTTCAGAGGAGGAGAACAGCTCCAGCAAAAACTGCATTGAAAGTTCAGTATTACAGCAATTTACTGAAGGTAGCGAAAAAGAATTCACATCTCTTTAACTGAAGAGGTAAACAATGTCTGATCTACACCAGAGATTTCTACAGAGCATTAACTCTTGCACTGATAGATAAACCAAGAAATGATAAAAGAGTAACATCAGTGAAAGGCAGTCTCACCTGAAAGAGGAAATGTCTCACAAAGCCTCCCAGTGCTGGCAGCATTCTGCTGGCATGCAGAGATACAAGTCATACTAGACAATAATGTATCATTCTGAATGTCTTCCAGTTGAAATAAGTGGGGATGGTCAGGGCAAAACAGTGGAAGAAAAGCAACATCTATTGCTATGTCATGGTTTATACCTGTTGAAGAAAAATACTTTATGTTAGCAGAAAACTTTGTATTCAACCCATCAGCAACTTGGTGCACAACTTCTTTTTTTTTTAAACAAATCATTGCACTGATTTTTTGTTTACATGTTTCTTGTCCACTCGTTAATAATTGAAGTCTAATAATGTTTCTCTATAGGATTATACACAAGCACATTCAAATTGATATGATGCTATTAAATACTATGGTTTAAGGCTAACAATGCTAATAGTTCAGAAAACATTAAACCTTGGAAGCCATTTCATCCTCCTTTTAACTTTATCTGCAAAGGCAGAGAAATTAATTTTACAACCAGTAAAGTGTGCAATGCAGTGCTACTTTCATCTTCATCTTCAGTCCCAGGTTTCTAATGACTTCAAATATTTAAACACCTTCTCTGCAAATGTCCCTCATCAAATAATGAAAACTTTTAAATTATGGGAACTTAACATAAGCACTGTTAAGCAAGGCAATTTCTGTTCCCTTTAAACAGGAAAACAAAATCAACTTAATAACCCTCAATAAAGCTAGCAAACAGATACACATCAACCTGCATATCTATATTTTAATAAATAAAAATCAATCAACTGACACTTAGTGTAAACCAAAAGCAGCATGGAACAGTTAATGAGTATGGCTAAAATACAGTTTTCCATTTTCTGCCAAGGAAAGAAGGAACTTTAGGAGAACAGTATGAAAAAACCAACTCCATGAGAATAATGCTGAAAAGAAGCATTTATAATTGTTCTTTTTCCTTTTAAGAACACTAACTTGTTTCTGATAAACATCTCTCCATCAGAAAGTCAGCTGGCAAGTACAATTGAATAATTTGCCTGATTATGTCAGGACCTACTTCTAACTGAAATAATCAATAGTTTAAGGACTACACAGATTCTTCAAATAACACTCCTAAGATTATACCAAAAACTGAAATTATATGAAAAATGATATTACAAAAAAGATATTCAGACATTTTTCATTGAAAGGTATGTTTAATGAGAATAAAAATTACCCTAAATGGGAACTCTAACAAAAATCTAAAATGACAGTAATTTTTTAAACCTCAGGAAATCTCAGAATCAACTGATTCCTTTAGAGAAATCCATTCAGTTTCTGATGAACTTCCACTGCTTTTGCTTAACCATTTTTTACAAGGCAAGCTACTTACCCAGAACTGTCACTTCATAATACCCAAGGCCATTAGCACTTTTAAAATCATTGATGTTTTTATCTGTTCTGGCCTCTATTGGCTGATGCACTGCTGCATGAAGGTTGTACTGTTGCATAAGTAAGTCTTTGTGCACATAATCAAATTTACATGGGATACTTTCTGGGAAAATTCTGCTGTGATGAAAATAATTCATTAACTTGTCTTTCACTTGTGCCCACAGGTCACTCTGCCAAGAATCACAAGTTCTTCCAGTGTCTTCAGTTTCAGCTGTATTACTCACTCCTTCTTGATCTATTATAAGCACAGAAAACATTTAGATGCTTGTATAATTGTGTCACTCCTCTGTTAAATAAGACACGATTTTCATTAGAAAATTTCAACTATGAACACATGGCAGAAATTAAAAAAGCCACAAGAAAATGTGAGGTATCATGCTATAAAGTGCTTTGGAGATACTAAACTAATTTAAAACTTGTATAAATTTATTGCCCATAGTGGGAAACCATCCAATGCTGTCCTTTCAGCCATCCCTTAGAACCCAGCAGAGAACATTGAGTAGAATGATACTAATGATACATTGCTATAGTGGTTCCCCAGAGGCTGATGCAACCAGATGTACAGAGGAAATGTCTTAAACAAAGGTTATAAGGATATCTTTGTTGCCTGGTTTGGACCTGAAGAAAAGAAGTAGTCTTAAGCCTCCTAAGGTTAATATAACAACTATTTGCAACGTACCTGTGCAACACTGCAAACTGTCTGACACAGCCTGTCCATTTTTATCTTGCACAGAATGTCCATGCTGATATTCATCTAAACTATAAAAAGAAAATTATAGTGTGTATACATATATATTTACCTTAAACCTAATTAACCTCAAACTCTACACAGTAAAAGACAGACTTCTAGTGATAAATTATACAAGCTCGAGTGAATGAGCTGATTCCTTACTGTGAGAGCTGTACACAGCAGCTTGCCACAACGAGACCCCTGGTGCTCAGAAATCAGCTCAGCAGGGCTCAGGAGCAGCCCTGCCCGATTCCCGGCTTTGGGAAACAGACGGGGAAGGGTTTTACACCTCAGCCGGTGTCTGCTGCCCTCTCCCGGCACCTGCCGACACACCACGGGTGACACGGCCAAACGTCACGGGTGACCAACAGGTGACTCGATCGCAAAAACCGGGAGCCCAGCATGCGGCTGCACTGAACTGACACCCCTTCAGCACCCAGGAACACAGCACGAATGGAGTCATGCCACCACTCCGGAATCCAAAATGACAGAAATGCCAAATCTCTATTTTCCTATGGACATACTGTCCTCTTGTAACGATCAATTCAATGAAGCAAACTAGGTATTTGTTAGACTTTCTCTTTTTAATCATGAAGTTTTGAATTAATGGTAAGAAACTATTCTTTATCAATCTCTAATAAATTACCTAGGATATTATGCAGGAGAAAAACATAAGAGGCACTCTGCAAGCAAACATGGTAAAATAAGCTCTTAGGCCCATGTATTCTTTTATTCTTTGATGCATTTCTCTTATTAGAATAGAACTCACTGTGATGTCTGAAACAACTTGGGGAAAGGACTATCTTGATTATCTTGCATCACAAACAACTGCAACAGGTAAGACTTTGTTAAGGTACCATTAAAATTCCAGACCATCAAAGAAGTTAACAATAATGACAAGATGCAGACAGCAAGAAAGGAATCAAAGATGAACATGCTGTTTACTGGACAGCATATTGTATTGATATAGTATTTCATAAGGATTTTCAGGTTTAAATTTTTTTTTCTATTTCATACTAAGGTGTATCTTGAAAATTTTGTGTCAACATTTCCTAACAAATGGAAAATGTCTAAAATGGTATCTAGTGAAAAGATAAAAGGAAATTCACTAGAGGTTTTGAGAATGAAAGTATATTTTAAGAAATGCACCCCCATCATGGATGTATCATCACTGAAATTACCTCCTTGTGATGTCCAAATCTAGGCACAAAAGAATCCTCATTTAAGCAGTACAACCTGTGCAATTACTGCCCACAAAATTAATTTTCACTTTTGAGATCTGGACCTGTTAACTGTAAGATGAAACCCCAGCACAGTATTAAGAAAGGCTTGCTCAGAAACCAGCGTGTCGAGTTCGATACACACCAACTTCTCTCCTCATTAAAGCAGAGGATTAAACCAAGTCAAACTGCTGAAAAGTGGATATTGTGGAAAGTGGGTATCATGGGTTTTTTCTTTTAAAATTGTCTAGATTTGGAAGTGAATAGGCTCTGATTTAAAACAAGCAGAGCCTCAGGAAAATATGAAAAAAAAACTTGTCAGGATTTTTCCCCACTTCTTTCGCAGATCTGTAGCTGGGATAATTTCTACCTGCCCAACATTATTCCTCCAGGCCTGCTTTGTGCTGGATGTGTGAAGAGCCTGATTTGAGCTAGACTTGTAAGGGAAACTACTTGTCTCTAACACAGTCCAGGTGCTTCTTTGTGAATGAACCACTGTGTCTGCAATGCACCTGAGGCCACCCAAATCTCTCCACTTACTGCAGTGTGCTCCTGCTGTTGCATACCAAAACACCCACAGCCTATTTTAACCATGCCAGCTTTAGGAGAACTTGTGCATTGCCAGATTTGCTGTTTCCAGCCTTCACTCTGCAGGACCCCCCTTTGCACTGATGTCCACTTGAAAAAATCCTTTCTTCACTATTTTCAGATACATTGATATTCAATTTGTCAGTCATTTTATTTTAAAGTACTGTCATCAAAAATAACATCAATCAAAATATATGGCAGATCAGTATTTTCAGAAACTATTGGGAAAACAAGCATGTCCCATGCTTCACACCTATTTTGTAAGCACTGGGACTAAATGTGATAAATGAAATTAAGGAAAAAAATAGCTATGACTCACAGCTATGCCCAAACAGTGCAAGGAAGTAAAGTGCCTCAAAACAGTACAAGAAAACATCCCATTCACTGATAAAACTTTTTTATAGACTGGTTTGAAATGAACAAACTGTTCTGACACCATTGTGATAAACACATATACCACAGCAAGTAACAGAGAGACCAAAAAGCCTTTTATGATAACTTGACAAAATAATTTTTAGTATCTACCAATTTCTCCCTGACAAGTTCTGATTTATGTGAAAAAGGGTTGTGAAGGAAACATCACATGCTGTGAAACTTTTGGTCATACAAATCTCAAGATGAATTTCCCTATATTATAGAGTCCCCATTCCCCAGCTGTCACATCCACAGGAAGAAAAAAGGACAAATGTGTCTATGTGACAAAAAATATGAAAGTGAAACTACAAGGACAGAAGCAGGCAAACAAGTTCATTCCATGCATGGAGTATGAGCACGTAGTACAGCATTTCCATGGGAACACACTAAATTTACAAATATTAAAATTCTAAGAAAACTACTGTGCTTTTTTCACTTCCACACAAAAATAATCTTGTCTGAAATTCCTGATCTTTCCTCATACACCATCACTTCATTCTCTATAAATAAAATTACTTTGGAGTACATTAAATGCTTAGAACTACCATTATGTCAAAGATCTTTACTAGCAAGGATATAAATATCAACAATAGTGCTAAATTACCCAGTTTCTTTGTTCTTTCTGAAACCCTTAAAAATCATGTAAATTACCTCAGAAATGCAGGAACTGTAGCTGTCAATAAAAAGTCTCAAAATAAACTCCTCCTGTTTATAAAACTGCTTATAATAACATACAAAAGTCTTGTATTAAACTATTCTGACAGTTTAAGTTAGAATATGTACTTTAAAACATATCTCTATTATTGGATTCAATGATCCTTGTGGGCCCCTTCCAACTCAGAATATTCTCTGAAATATGTGAAGATTGTTAAAACTGCTATTGTTAATTTTGTCAACATACTAAAGTATTTTAGGGAGAGCTGACATTCTGCTACATCTAAGGAACAGAAAACAATGGAAATTTAAAGTATATCAGCTAACTTTCTATTTTTCTTTGGTAATTTGGAGAATTCAGCACAATTCTATAGTTAGTTACAGAAATACACGAATTACCTTTTAATTATATAGAGTGAAACAGCTTTCCATAATCCAACACAGACTTTCTCCTCCTTTAGCTGAGGTTCTAGCACTAAAGGCATAGAGTGGACACACAGGTAGCGAGGAGAGTAGCAGATTGAGAAAAGCAGAGAACAAAGTAAACATGCCTTAACTTCTGGCTTCACCTATAAGAAATGGGGAGAAGACATTCTTCCCATCCTCCCCCCACCCTGGAAAAAGCGGAACATTTCTCAGCAAGCAAAAGAACACAAGATTCCTTACAGTCAAGGAAAATCTCCTGATTTTCCTATGGATTTGTACAAGTCCCTGCAAACTCCTGCACCACCTGCAGAACTGTGACCTTAAGCAAGGTGATGCTTTTAATGAACCAGCTGCAAAGTCAAGTAATCATTTCTCCTAGAAAATGCAGATTTTACCAAAAGGACCAGGACACAAAACACATGGGTTCAAAAGAGCCTCATTTATCCCACAGAAAAAGCTGCTGCAAATTAGCTTCCAATAAATGTGTTTGAAGAAAACAGGCATGCTTTTAGGGGAGCAGTACTGGTAGAATGGTTAAAAACTTTGATCAGCTCCCTCATTACCACTGTTGCCCTATTCCTAGCACTGTGATTCTTGGGTTTAGGGGGGAAAAGGAAGAGATGCTAAAAGTAAACCAAAAAGGCAACTGAGCCATATATGTAGTCATGACACAAATCCAGATCACTGCCAAAATACACAAACATCCTAAATTACTGACACCAAGGAGTTCAAACATTCAAGTTGCTCATGTTCTGTCTGGAACAAGTGACAAGAATTTATGGCCCTTAAAAATGCTCAAAGGAAAGTAGCTTGTAGCCCCTGGTTAACAAATAAAAACACTCATTCAGTTTTCTTAATAATATCACTTTTTTTGTTATTTCAGTAGGTTCCAGATTTGACAGGACTCTGGATTTGAAATTCCTATGTGGACTTCAAAATAACCGCACCTTCTCTGGATTCAAACTGACTTATGTAAAAACTGAGTTCTGGGGAGTGAAAGGAGTCAGGGGAGTGCCTTCCCAGGGACAACTATACTTACACTTTTGTAGCATCAACAAAAATGTATAGCTCAGCCACCACCAGGAAATCCATTCATTGCCATGAAGAACCTCTGTTATTATATATTCCCTTAGTAGAAGTAGTAGCAATATAAGATGCTTAATAACATGCTCAAAATTATGTTTCAGATTCATTTAGAGTCAGTGCAGATGAGTGAATAGAAAACATGATCTGGTCTTTCATTTTACTTCCTCAGAAGATATTCCTGATCTATAAAATTTTTACTCAGAGTATGTTTGTTTGATTATTGCAATTATTCAACACAATTAATTTCACATGACTTACCCTAGTTTTCTTCTTACAGTCCGCGTAAAATAGGGATAAGATGACACGGATGTACCACCCCTTAAAGTAGGAAATTCACCATTACTTTTCAGTATCTATTTAAATGGAAATTCACAAAGCAAGGGACTTTGATGTTTTTCTTTCAGGCAGAACTAAACTAAGACACTCAAATGCTGCAAGTTTTCATAAGGAACAGAATCCACTAAATTTGCTGTAACACTGCCAAGACAAAACTTCTGTTTAACAAGGTAAATACTAAATTTTCATTCAATGCTAATTATATTTTATTACATTTCCCCTCAAACTATTCTAGTGTATCCACTCTCTTCACACATTATGACTTATGAATGTGAATAGTGAAGAATATACCCATTATAGTATGAGAAATCCACTGCAAAAAAACAGATGTGACTGGCCTGACTTTTGAAACTTTCCATCTGTCAGTGTGTACACCAGGCTCTCAATAGTGAGTATGGCTGTAGTATTTTACACAGGTGTTGCAATGAAGAGCAGTCTTATACAAGAAGTTACATTACCCCTGAATTTAACAGTTGTATCAGATAAATTACAAATTATTTTGAGCCCTTAGGTTAGCACATCTAGTTTCCTTTCTGACAGCAAGTTACAGCTACATGCAGTATACCCCATTGCCCAGAAATCAAAAATAAAGCATGTTTGAAATTAAGGAACATGTATACCACATTTTCAGCCAAGCTATCTGATTTTCTCACATCATTGTAACTGTTTGTTCCACAGCTATGTCACTAAACTACATTTGGTCCAAGTATTAACTACTTTTATTTCAAATCTGTGAGATTAGTAAGAAAGTAGCATAAATATTAATCAGAAGAGAGCACTGCAAACCTACTTTAATTAATCCTTCAGTAGTATGACCAGTGTAATTGTCATCACCTATGCCAGGAAAAGTACATAATTACATTTCAAAGATTAAACTATATATTCTTTTAAAGCTTTCTTATTTTCTACAGCCTGGGCTCTGGTCTAATTTCTGAAAACACTTTTTAGAAGATCCACCACTTATTTATGAAGAGAGCTTACTGTTCTGCATCTCTTCTGAATCTGCGTGTTGTCTTGCTCTTGACTGAATTCCCCTTTGACAGCAGAGCTCGGTGCTGATGTTCCCCAGGAGCACAGGGTGGCTCCAGGGAAGACTTAACTTCTTCATTTTTATCCTTGTCAACACAGTCTTCTTGGGACACAGAAGAACTTCCAAGAGACTGAGAGGTATCTTTCTGCAACTACAGTTAATTGTTTAATATTTTCAATGCATGCACTTAAAGGTATTTGTTCCAACTCAAAAACCTGAAAGTTTCTGACAGTCAACTTACATCTAGTAGAAGTTATATTCTAATCATATTAATATGGTAAATTCTTTCTAGAAAGTGACAAGTGAGCATGTTGCAGCAAGTGCCTCTCCCACACTCCAATTAACATCAGGTTAGTCAAACTAGTAACTTTTAAACAGTTACAAGTTTTACAGAGGACTGCCAGAACACTTTCAGAGAAGCACTGAATCATTGCTTTTTAAAATTTTGCTCTCAAAAATCAGATTAAAAGACAATGCAATTGTATTCTGAACTCAAATACAAAATTCTCCATTCTAATGACAATCAAGCTGCTTTGGCATTAATTCACACACCATACCTGGATGAGTTCCCCTCCTGGGGCTTCAGCTGCATTACTACAGCTGATGTATCTTATGGCACTAATTATTCCCTGAACAGCAATTCGCTTGTGCTCTCTGTAGTGCAGCTCTTCAACCTCTTTCCCTATTTCACCTATGGGTTTCAAAACTGATTCAACTGCAAAAAAGAAATTTCCAGAATCAAGTTTTAGAGAAATACAGTACCAAAATCTCTGAACACAAGACTAAAAAGAAGATTTTTTTTTATTAAGTATTAAATTGATTTAAACTTATGTTTTTAAAGAATTCTAAATCTTTTTGTTATCCACATCACGTGGAAGAAAATTAAAACAATAAACCTTTTTAGTTCATAAGCATCCTTTGGTATGCATTATCAGACACCACAATTTCTGTTTCAGGTGAAATTTCCAGTTCAATGTGGCCTTCAGAATAACTATTTTTAATTTTGATGTGGCAGAATATTCAGAGTAAAACTTCTGGGTATATGTGTAGCTCATGTCAGCTTCTACAATTCCCCTGCAGCTAGCAGTGCAATATTTTCTGTGAGGTGAGGATTTAGCCTATAAAACATTTACTTACAAAAGGGAGCTTTTCTTGGAGTAAGACTGACTGGAAAAGGCCACAAATCTTAAAGATATTTCATATATCATACCTTCATTGTTTTTACAATATTTCAAAAAGCTATCAGGAGGTCGTGGAAAAGGGTAATATCCACCAATGACAGTTTTCTTTATTTGATCAGCTTCATTTTGTGATTTTGTCCACTGAATGAAGTTTTTCACTTTGGCATCCTTGGTGTATGGCTGGCCCTTGTGCCACCCTTTTAAAACAAAAGTAATCAGGTATCAAAACCAAAGCACACAATTGACACTTGTTCTCATTTTGAAACTCCCCTGAACACTATTTGGAAAAAACATATTAAGAAAATCTTGACTAGAGAGTACAAAAGATGTCTTTTGTCAAGAGTGTTTTGCCAAATGAGTACCTTGAATTCCTTGACTACACTTGCATTTGACACCGAATGTCGAAAAAATGTTAAATAACAGAAAAAAACAAAACAACTAGCAATAAAGCTCCTAGAACAGGAAAGCTGCAATGTTTATTAATGTTTTAAGTAAGTGGCAACTGCCATTGCTACCCTATCAAAATATTAACAGCCTGAAAGAATTAGGAAACATATGTCTTAACCTAGAAATACTTTTTATAAGATAAACGCATTTTAATGCCACACAAGAATGCCATTTGCCTTCTTGTCTTCTGCAGTGATGTTTCCTTATCACCTCATAGTCTGTACTGATTATTGTGCTGTAAAATGAAAATACCCTTTCCAAAGAAATAATATGAGAACTACATAAAACAAGAACTAGTTTAAGTTACCTGTAATGAATATCTGACTTTCATTTGAAGTCGTAAGGTAAACTGTCCTGGAATCATTCTCAGTCATCACTCTCATCTGTGTACACACCAAGTATGTCACTGGAGAGAAAAAAAAACAACTTCATTTTTTTTCCTGACTGTTCACTGATTTTAGAATAGCAAGACTGACACACATTGGATTAATTTTATTAAGTTCTCTAAACAAAGCAATTTTGTTCTTGACCCTATAAATGTTTAATGCATGTTTTGAATTGCCATTATAAATTACCATATGAACATGCAATTAAATCTTCAATTTAATTTCAGCATAGATATTACAACTAAAACATGAGATACTTCATCGGGTAGGATATCACTGAAACAAACAGTACAAATATTGGTATTAAATAGCTGTGTTTCTTAAGGATAAAACGTATAAAATCATGAGAAATTATGGCATGCCACTGCAAAACTTCTAAACAGAGCTCAGACTTACTCTTTTGGTAGTATCTCAGTTAAACTCTAGAATGTTATTCTTTCCCACTTCCCCAGAACACTCAAGATGAATGCCGCCACAATCTAAGCAGGACTGTGCAGCTGGTGCTGCGTCAAATGTTACAAAAAATGAGTACCAACACCAACCAGTGTTCAAAAAAGGATGAGTGCTTGGAGGAGAAGAGAAAGAAGGCAAGAAGAAATATTTAAAGCTCTTTTAAAATCCTTCATTAAGGATTCCCTAGTTTAAAATTTATTACTTTTAGCTCACGTGTGATAACTAACACAGCTGAGTCATGATTGCTATTTGGGCAAAAAGCACTGTTTCAAAGAAATGAAACTTTTCCACTTTCACCTCTTTCTTCATTCAATTCTCTTAAATTATTCCTGTCTATAAAAAAGCAGGTATTTACAAGGCAGGAGGAGCAAGAGTTTTGACCAGCTGCTGCCTTTAATCACCTCTGATGCTAGAGATATTGCCCAGCTTCTTCTAAACAGAAACATCTGAAATGAACGAGGTCAGAGGAGCCACAGGCCCACTTATCCATCTAATTGTTTACACTGACAGACTGCAATTTGTAAGGATTTCAAATACTTAAACTATTTTTATTCTTAAATTTTAATTTCTGATCCAGTCTCTTCTGCTTGAGGAGATAAATCATGGCTTTTTTTTACTCAGTGGCAACTAATCTCAGAAATTCACAATGAACTAGAAAAACATTTAAAATAATTATTAGTAAGTATTATAGAGAGATTAATACTTGGATGAATACGCTCAAAAACGTCTGGCTGAGAAGTTGCAAACAATTCCAGTATGAATGGCTGGTCGGAGGTCCCATCAATGGCATGTGCCCAACGATACAGCCAGAAGTCTTCACTGTGTTCTAGATAAACAAATATTAAGGAAAATGTATAAGCATTTACATAGAAATTTAGAAACTATTTGATAAGTTCTGAAAGTCACATTTATAAAAAAAACCTCTTTTTCTGGCTCGCTCAGCCCTTCCTACAAATGTCACAAGACCAATAACATCACAGGAATGATTGTGCGGTAAGTCATCCAGCTCTGACCTAAAAGCAAAATAGAAGAAAGCTGGGTAAGCTTTCTCAGAAACTCTGCAAAAAGCACTTCAATTAACATTCACTGTAAGGCAGTGTAATTTAAATTCCAGCTTGATAACCAACAAAATTTTATTTTACCTTGTGATAAACCTATATTTAACATCAGGTAATCCCCACTCTGGCTTAACCATTTCTTCTGGAATAATACTTATTTCAGTAGGAGGATCTCGAACATTAAGGCAAATTTCTGACAAAAAAAAAAAGTAACATTTACAGCATAAATACAAATTATCATAATCATCATTTTTATAATAATAATATAACAAAAGTAACAACAACCCATAAATAAACCAGGGTAAAGTTTCTTAAATATTCCAACTTTGTGAAATTATTCATCAATTTCTCTGAGTTCACATTTTTATCACAATAAAGTAAGGAATTCAGGTACAACAAAGCAATTACAACAAACCAATTTTATCATCTGTGTAATGTTAAACTTTCCAACTGCCAACATGAGCCAACTAGTCCAATCCAGGCAGTATTTTAACAGGAACTAATCCAACCATACTAATTAGACACAAAGTACTTTTTACACTAGCTGTGTTGTCAAATGTCAGTAAGGTCTGAAACTGATGTTCAGACAATGAAGTAAAACAGAACTGGTGCATGAGAATTTCCATATATGATGCTAGTTGAGGTAATTATTAATAGGACAGAAATACACCATGGCCATGGAGGAAAACAAAAGGTCTTCCCATGCCTTTTCTATAGCACCTGAAAAATTTCGTTTATTTCTCAGACTGTTTAGATGCTAAATTACAAACATGGTGGAGCACTGGGGCAAGCAACTGCTCTTCAACCAGAGTAAAAAAAGAGGAAGAGTGGCTTCAGCTTCTAGAATACACAAGGCAGTATTCTATGGTCTCATTACAGGACAAATCCTGCTGGTATATAAAAGATAGTCTGATGATATTTCTTGGGTTTGAGTAAGGGATTATTCAAAAAATGCACCCAGAAAACTAAGTCAGTAGATATAAATAATACACACAACTGTTTATGTAATATTGGGTGCCTCACCCTGGCACCACAACATTAGGAAGGTGTTTACTTCAAGTCAGACCCTCTACTTAGGAATATTCTCTAGGCTTCTGCTTTCTAGAAATGTATTTGGAAAACAACTGTGGTTTTGCATATGGTTGTTTAAGACATATCACCAAGAAAATTCCTGAAACAAAATTTTCCCATGTATCAAAACTATGTCTCAATTGTTTCATTATACTTAGTGAAATAATTTCACTTCATCTGAACAAAAAAACCACCGTCATGCAATGGAAGTTGCACAAAATCCATCTTACAAATGCTCTAGAACTTTTTCTGGATATTCTGTTCTCTTGTGATGTTCTTATAGAACATATGGTCATACCATCCATCCATGCATCATGTGAATTCATATTAAGACAAAATTCTCAGCTTTGTGCAAGGAACTGAGATTCTGTACATAGTTTTGTATGAAGCAAAGATTTACAGTTTCTACAGTTTATCTGTGCACCATGGTGCTTTCCAATGGAGTGACTTCTAGTTCTTCCATCACACAGCTATTACCCTTTAGAGCCCAGTAGGCTGACTTGGCTGGCCATTTTGATTTCTTTGTTACCACTTCTATCCCAATAATGTTTGTAAGAAATCAGAAGTGCAGAGTAAAGAGGGCATTGAAAATGCACAGATATTTGCCCATAGAAGACGTCAACTCAGATGGCATATTTCACTCTGTCTTCTTTGCATAGAAAGGTTTTGTGGCAATTATAATTGTTTTCAGGGTTGGCTTGTAATTGTCATCATCTTCCCTCACAAACTTCCATTCCTGGTTAAACATTTCCATATCCTGCCAAGCCATCACAAATACTTCACACATTGAGATATGGTTTTAATACAAATATTTATCAGTCAGGCAAGATATTGCTTCTGGCAGTGAAAACATTGTTTATTTTTGTACACAGTAGCCGACTTTTTGTGCACTGTTTCCTAACTCCATTAGGAAACTGTCATTGTCAGTAAGTTATACATAGATCACCCTTCACCAACATGCATATTGTTTCAAGAACTTATTTGGATTTTCTGAATGTTGGCTGTCATTTTGTACAAAAGCACAAAATGGGAAAGAGCTCACACAGAGTGAAGGAAGAGAGAAAACAAACCCAAAGTCGATCAAATCCAGTTTGAAAAGGCCATTACTGCTACACTGCAGGACTTGTATTTTTGTAGTATAGCTCCTTTGAGTATCTGCCACACTAAAAAACTGGCAACTAAGAAAATGCTTTTTCATAGCCAAGGAATATTCTTCATACACATACTCCCACAGTGATGCTCTTTCAGCACACAAAAGTCATCAATGCAACTTTTTGTTCTGTGGAGCTGTGTAGATACTCTGGACCTTGACAGTATACACTAAAATCGAAAGTCAGATGAGTTGATAATGTCCTTCAATGACATGGAAAAAGATGTGAGCAGTGTACAAGTGATATGTGTGTTATTAAGCAGGAAGTAGAATCAGATTAAAAATCATCACCAGAGGCCTATCTTTATAATTTCTGTTCCTGATATCAGGGATTATTTTTTAATTTCTTTATTTTTTAAATAAAGGTTTTAACTAATTGTGGCAGTAAACTTTGTAGGCATGATTCAATATAAACAGGGAACAGCATGAACCTGGACACTCGGACACCTTTCAGAAGTACGACTTAAGGATTTATAACTTATTAATTAACATCAGCAACAGATCAATTTCTATTTCGTTTCTGTGGAGAATTACTTTGCACAGCTGTATTTCATAGACTCAAAATAGGTTTCTGCAATACTTAACCAATTGTAGCAAATCTCTTCATCTGTGAATCCCCTGGGGTGGGGTGTGTTTTAAACGGGTAACTGGATTTGATGGCATACTTGGCAAGAAGCAGCACTGTGCCAACCTTCATACTGTGATACCATTTAGGACACAGCGAGTTCCACAAAACCATTGACATCATGCCTGAGCCATCAGCAACTTCAAAGTAAGCCTGAGGGAAAAAGAGACAATATACAGTCATCTTATTTATTATCATTCTGCTAGGAATTTATTTTGGATAATGCACCAGTACTTGACTCATAAATTATTTCTCTGTTACAAATGGATATAGAAGATGTTCCAGAACTTGCACTGAATACTTGAGTGGAAAAAATCCCCAATTGTTAAACAGGGCAAATGCTGAATCTGAAACTGAGCAGTAAAAAAAGATTTTTAAACTAACCCACTCCTATCTCCTTTTCCAAGAAGTTCAACACAAAAATATAAGTTAAATCTATTAGATTTAAGTTAAATATATTAGAAAGTTAAATACATTACAGTCGAATATATACAAGTTAAATACACTAGAAAAGTCATTAAGAATTTTACAGTAAAGTAATCTATCTGAAAGTCAACAGATGAGAGAATCACGGCATAGAAATAATTTAAATATATTGGCTTTTTTTTGACAGGATATACTAACTCCAACTTTCAAAGCATAGAGACCAGAAATGTTTAGGCTGTTAAACTACTAACACCTGGAAGTATCCTTTTCTTCACAAAAAGCTCAAATGAACAATAGTAACTGAAATGCAGCCACTAAAGTTTGTACACATATGATCACAAAATTCAGCATTTCCTGCTCTAAAGAGCTCAGCATTTTTGTAAAGGCAGCATTTTCCATATAACATAGCTATAAAATTACTTTATGTGCTTACTATATGGGAAAAAATATTTTCAAATATCCTACAGCAATTTGAGTGTTAACCTATCCATTTATCCCTCTTTACCTGATAAGGCATATCCACTTTTTTCTCTGGTTTTCCATAGTACCTTAGTCTAGATTTGTGCAGGATTCTCACAAGAAGTGGATTGAAATGCACTCTGCTTCTCCATGTCCTTTCCAGATGACCAAGATTAGTCAGTCTGGAGACTAAGGTTAAGGGAAGGGGAAAAGAAAAGACCAAAAAAGAGCATTCATGATTGAACATCTAAGTTTTCAGGAGTAAAGTGGCAGGATGTTACATGTATTTTATTAATGTTTCTAACAATTAAAAAGGCTCATCTGCTGATATAATTCACCAATAAAATTCTGTTACGAATTATCTGCACACAGCATAGGTTTGCCTTTTTTTTTTAGTTGAGAGTGATGACACATTTTAAATGACACCAAAGTGTTGTCAGATGAGCAGAGGGGCTATTACAAAACCCACATGTCTCAGCCTACAAGGGATCACACTCGTGCAGAAGTCCTGTTATCCGTCTCTCCTCACCAGGCTTCATGGAATGGCCTGAGCCCCCCAGCACTGACCACATTCTGGGTGGCAGCTTCTAAGTGTGAGCATCCTACCCCACAGAAGAGACTACTACTGCACCCAGTGTTTTTGACACCTCAGGAGACTGGGCACAAGCACCACAGCTACATATTTTCAGTCAATGTTCCTAGAGTTTAAAAAACTCTCTCAAAGCAACAAAGTATTACACAAGGGGTTGGGTTCAAGGGGGTTATCTTGTTCTGTATTATCTGTCTCTGGGGTTATCTCCCTCTGCCATGGGAGGGACATGTTGCACCGGACCAGGCTGCTCAGAGCCCCATCCAAGCTGGTCTTAAACACTGCCAGGGGCGAAAGTATCCACAGATGGCAACTGTGGGATACCTGTGCTAGTGCCTCACCATCTTCCCAGGGAAGAGGTTTTCCCACAGGAAGAGGTGAACTTTGACACAGGTGGCACATTCCCAGTGGGACCAAACACAGCTGGAGGATACCAGGAGGCTCAGCCCAGCTGCACAAGCGATCACAGAACCAATCGGGTTGGAAAACACCCCTAAAATCATCGAGTCCAACCTATGACCAAACACCACCCTGTCAGCCAGGCCACGGCAACAAGTGCCACATCCAGTCTTGCCTTCAGCTCCTCCAGGGACGGTAACTCCATCACCTCCCTGGGCAGCCCATTCAAATGTCTAATCACCTTTTCCGTGAAGGAATTCGTCCTAACGTGCAAGCAAAACCTTCGCTTAAGACTATGTGTCCTTGCGCTGCAGCTGGTTACCTGGGGAAAGCGCCCGAGCCCCAGCTGGCCCCGCGCTGCTGTCAGGGGATTGCAGAGAGGGAAAAGGCCGCACTGAGCCGCCTCTTCTCCAGGCAGAGCCCCCTCAGCCGCACCCCGCAGCACCTGCGCTCCCGACCCTTCCCCAACAAAGCAACAACCGCCCAACAAAGCCGGCACCGCCTCCTCCCTCAGGGCGTCCCTCCCGCACCCCCACAGCCGCCTCCTCCGCCCTTACCGTCCACATCCACCCGCACCGGGGGTCTGTCCGGTACCCACACGTCTCCATAGGGATCCTCGTTGTTCCAGAGCGGCAGGTAGTGCCTATTGTCCCCGCGGAGGGGCTGGAGCGGGCGGTGCCCGTCGGGCGGGGTGCCCGCGGCGGCGGCGGCGCCCCCCGCCCGCTCCAGCCCCTCCAGGCAGAGGAAGCCGCGGTTCAGGCGCCTCTCGTCGTAGCGGAACGAGCAGCGGGTGAGGCGGAGGCGCGTGCCCGCCCGCAGGCGCGCGCGCTGCACCAGCCCGTTGAGGCGCGGCGCGAGGTGGCAGCGGTGCCAGCGCGCGCCGTCCGCCAGCGTCACGTCGTACCAGTACTGGTGGGCGGCGGCGGGCGGCGTCCGCGCCAGGTACCGCTCCACCGCCACCACCGTCACGGCCGGCGGCTCCGCGGGCGCCGCGCTCAGCTGCGAGGAGCTCTGCACCTCCTCAAACACCCTCTGCAGAGAGAAGGCCCCGCCGCCCTCCGCCGAGGCCGCCGCCCGGTTCTCCTCGGCCCGTTCCGGGGTAGCGTCCTGCATGACAGCGCTCCGGCCGCCCCTCCCGGGCGCTAGCGGCGCCGGCCGCGGCTTCCCGCTGTCATGGCTGAGCGGAGGGCGCCGCCCCCACGGCGCGCGCGCGGGGCGGGGCGGGCGGGCGCGCGCGGTTCAAACCTCCAACGGCCCGGGCGGGGGCGGGGACACGGACACGGGGACATGGGGACACGGACAGGGGGACACGGACGCGGCGGCCGGGGAGCTGCTGCGGGCCGAAGCGGGGCCGAAGCTGAGCCCTGCTGTGGCGGTGAGAGAGGCGGCCGGGTAGCGGCGGTGCGCGGCCCCGGTGTCCCTCCGCTCGGCCGGCGCCGCGCTGCCCCCGCGCTGGTTCGGTGCCCGCCCTCGCCGGTGCCTTGCGGCGGGGCCCGGTGCGACGGGGGCTCTGATCAGCGAGCAGCGTGGTGGTCCCTGCCGCCATCAGGGAGTTCTGCCGCACCACCGTTCCTGCTTCCACAACACTGGTCATTGCTTCTTCCTTACCATCAGCGTGTTCCCAGTTGTGCCTGCTTCTAGTATTGTATTTGTCTTTTAAATACTTGCAGTGTGGGGGTAATGGTAATCATTTTGCTATTGAAACTAAGTCTTGTTTCTTGCTTCCGTCTTCAGAAGAAATTCTTACTAGTGATTCCAAAGCGTGTGACATTTATATTATTGATTCTTGCCCCGCTGCAACTATCAACTTCTTTATCACACCACAGAATCAAAGAATGGTTTGGGTTGGAAGAGACCTTAAAGACCATCTGGTTCCAAATCCTCTGCCATTGGGACATTTACACTGATCTCATAAGTAGTCCTGTGAAAGCTTAAGGAGATCAAGAACTTAGTATTTGATATTTTATTAGTGCCTGTATTTTTTTCTATGGAAGGAAACACCTCTTATGAGGAAAGGTGGAGGTAGCTGAGCCTGTTGAAACCAGGGAATTACAACACTGAGAGGGGATTTTATCAATGCCCACAAATATCTGAACAACAGGTATCAAGAGAATGGGAATAAGTGGTGCTCAGTGACAGGACAAAGGGCAACAGGCACAAACTAATACACAAGGAATTCCATCTGTATCGGAGGAAAATTTTCTTTGAGGGCAGAAGAGAACTGGAACAGGCTGCCCAAAGAGGTTGTGGAGTCTCCTTCTCTGGAGATACTCAAAAGCTGTCTGGATGAGATCCTCTGCAACCTGCTCTGGGTGACCCTGGTTTAGCAAGGGTTGGATTTGATGTTCTCCAGAGATCCCTGCCCACCCTAGCCATTCCAGCAGGACAGAGTGAGGAGAGAGGGGAAAAAAAAGGCTAAGAAGAGCAGCAACTTCCAGTCTTTATAGTGTCACTGGTGCAGATAATCTTTGGAAATCCAGAAGTATGGCTGCAGCTTAGGCAGAGCTGGATCAGGTGCTGAGCAATTATTCCAGCTTGAGCACAGCTGTATCCTTAGTCTACTGCCTTTGTTACTGTGGAGCATTTGCCATGGGGAAATTAGAAAACCTGTTGCCTGAACCACTTAAAATAGTCTGAAAACACTATACAAAGGGGTATAAAGCAGAAGCTTCTCTAGGAATTATTGGACATTATGGATTTTATGTCACAGTGCATTCCTTAGTAAGATTATATTGAAGTATTGGGTAAAATTTCCACATGGTGTCTTTCTTCCCCAGTAAACATGACTTGTTGTGTGAACTGGTAAAATGGCATTTACAGTTTAAAAAAATGAACATGACCCAAAATTATCTTGCACAGGATATGATTTCACATCACATACAATGGATAACTATGGTGTACACTTTTTTTAGTTATTAAGTAACGTGTGGGTAAAATGAGGAAGTCTGTGGACCGCTCCCAGTTTATCTCCACTTTTGTCTGTGCTATGATGTCATTTGCAGAAGAAACTTATTCATGCACAGGTTATTGTTACATGTGCATTTGTTGCCATTTTTATTGTGGGTCAGTGGGGTCTCATTCATTGAAGCTGAAGCTTTTGTGGACTGGTAATGGACTGATGTGGACTGATAGCAGAGTTAATACTTTGTGTTGGATAAATCTGTATGCATTGCAGGTTCAGATACAAGACAGCTCCATCTCTTAGGAACTTGCTCCTGCTGCCTTCCTTCTCACCAGCAGAGGTCCAGCTAACATACCAATTTCAAAACTGGAACAAGGGTAAATCTCTTGCTGTCAGTATGTGAACAAGTTTTAAAGCCTGGCTATGTCTGTGAGTTCATCTGGATGTGTGTTGCAGTGTGATTTCGTGGTTTACCCCCGAACCCCGTTTTCTCCCCTGAAGATTTCCTCACAGGTGTCTCAATCACTCCTCCTTTCCCACCCTGACCCCTGCCAGCACTGTCTGTCACTCCTGGAATTCCAGAAGAGCATGGAGTGATTGAGCAGATTCCAAAGATGCCCTCCACCCCCGAGGGGCTTTGGGCCATCCAGGTGTCCTTTGTCCCCTGAGACCTCCTCTCCCGTACCTGGCTGGTGGCTCCCGACCCCTTCCCCCGCGCTCCCCCAGGGAAAAGGGAGAGGAACCGCGCGGTCTGGGAGTGCTGGTGGAGCCCTTGCTGGGTTCAGATGCCTGCGGGCCAGAATAAAAGCTCTGGATTAAAACCCTCCATTAGAACCGACCCCTTTCCTTCATTATCGCCTTAAAAGCTTCTCCGGCAGAGGAAACTCGAGAGGGCGAAGCCTCTGCGAGGGAAGCTCCATCCCGCGGCCACCGGAGCTTCGGCATGCCTGGCCTTGTTTCCATGTGCCCAGCTGCGACATCAGCTCGCCGAAAGTGTCTCTGGGGGGAGGCACCGCAGCTGCCGCTGTTGGGTTCAGCAGCAGGGGCCAGACCAGCCAAGGCACGTCCCGTCCTCAATATCGGCAATACCCATAGATGTGACTTCCCTACCATGCCTAACAGTGGGACTGATCTGACTGCATTAGAAACTGAAGTTGAGAAACACTCAGTCGGTAATGACTGGAGAGGAGCCATCAGCAGATGGCTGTACCACATCACAAGAACTAAGGGCTTTGTGTTCTGCTGAGCCTGCTACAGCGGGGTGCATAAGCAGCTCATTGAAGACAATATGATTTTTATATGCCTACAACCAAGTGTACTAAACAATACTTGTGTCCAGCCCATGTCAATCAATAGTCTCAAATACTCAGAGACAATTAGCAGTCAAATATCTTGGGTTTTATATACAACACATTGTAAGAAAACAGTCGTTAGCTTTACAGCAGCGACAGTGAGGAATGAGCCATGCTGAATAGGAGGATGTTATTACATTCTGTTAAATATTACATTTAAAATACACGGGAGAAATGAAAGGCACAAAAGAATAAAAGATAATGCTCTGCATTTTAGAAAATTATCTGGTGTAAAATATCATAAAGCTTACTGTAAAAGTTGTTTTTACACTCACCACAAAGTGTTTTGTGGACAAAAATAGAAAAGTTTTTCTGATGCATTTCACCATTATTTCCTAGGTGCTCTTGTTAAATCTTCTTAGAAAATAACGGAAGTGGTTATGTAATGCTAAAATAACATTTTGGGTGATTACCCAACTGACATACCTTTGCCCTTTAATCAGCTCTCTGCACTTTGAAAGGCAAGTTTAAGAAAGTGGTGGGTTATCAGCAGGAAAACTTCTTACACTTTTGGTGTGTGGAAATTTGACTTAATGCACAGGTTTTAAAATCTATAAAAGTCTTTCTTATAGACTCAGGTTTGCTTATGATTCATTTAAATACAGCTGTTTAATCATGGAACTGAACTTGTAACCCAGCTTTTATGATGGTCTTTGAAGAAACAATGCCAGTGGCAATGAAGACTCTGTGAGCTTACCTGAGAAAAAGTGACTTGGGCTAACCTGGCATCAGGCTGATGTGCACAAAAGCCAGTTCTTGTAGCATCAATGATGAAAGCTGTCACTTTGCTGTAGTTCCACTGCCCTCATCCTACTGGGCGTTTGTCTGACGGGAAGGGCAGACACACAGAAATCCAGTGAAGCTCATTAGCAGCACACACTGCACAGCACTGGCTGTCACCCTCAGGAGCACTCTGTCCAGTCTGAAGGCTCACACTGTCACTTGGACATCTTTATCCATACAAGGATATATATTTGCTTTGTCCCTACAGGCAGATATGGATGTTTCCCTAAGGATGGTGACTGGATTTAGAAAACAATAACAAAGGTTTCTATGATTTTTACAACAGCCGATGTCAATATAACAGAATCATTGCAAGCGTGATACTAGTTTTGATTTTTCAGAGTATTTTTATTACTGTTTCAATTGTACAATTTAAACCTTTGAGAACAATACATAGTGTACAGTACATAACTTGCATGGTTCCCAGGTTTTGAAGTCATGTGCCAAGCTTCAGGCTGCAAAAGAGAGTTCACCATGCCTGAAATTAAAGCAGGCACACAGACACAGTTCCACATTATTGCAGCATTAGCACAAGCTTATGTGGCAAATGCAACATTATGAGCACCACCTGTCATTAGGAGACTGCATGTTCCAAAGGGTTAATGACATGGATCCTTAACATTCTGCCCCTGTAGCATTTTTTCATGTCAAAGTGACATCAGTAGAAAAACACATTAAGCAGTTTAGTCCTTGGTTTTAAAAGTTAGTGAAAGGATATAGCTAGTGAAACACCTCACAAAATGAAATTACAAATTTGATATACATTTTGCATAGTTAAAATTATGTTAAAATTATGTCTTGGTCACTGGATTTTTTTCTTCTGGCCTTTGTACTTTTGCTTTGAGCTGAACAGTTATTCAAAATACTCCTTCCCTCATTCAGTGCCCCCCAGTTGCTTCAGATACCTTTCCATTTCTTTGGCTGCTTTCTTTTCCTTAACATTTTTTAACCTTTTGTATTCCTCCTATAGCAATATGCTGTGCCAGACATCTACTCCCTTACCTTTGGCTACTCATGTTTCTTTTCTTCAGCTTTTCTCTCCTCTTCAGTCACTTCCCTTTCTTCTGTTACTCTTCTCAACATCTCTGGGTTCTTTCTCATCTTGAACCATTCTGACTATCATTTTATACGAGACAATGCCACACATTTCTCCTTGTTGCATCCAGTTGCTGTTGCCATTTGCAATACCACTTCTAAATCCTTCAAAGGCTTTCCCCTCTAAGTGCCTCATTCTTTCCATAATTACACATGGAAAGTTTTTAATGTTTTTTTATAGTGAATAGAAAATGAAAATCCAATTCACTGCCTCGAACTGGAGCTAGAAAGAAGAAAGCTAATAGAGGGAAACAGAATGAATTACAATCCCAATGTAATAGTGCATATTCCCTCTTGAACTTGGGGTTGGTTTGGGTTTTTTCCCTTTTAGCATGGAGTTAAACTTCTTCACAGTGTGTCAATGTATTGTCATTGTTGCAAATTTCTGCTACAGTAAACTTAAGCTTGATCACATTTGCTTATTTAATCTGTTCATATGAGTTGCTATAAATTCCCACTGTTCTTTGCTAAATTCTTTTCAACTAGTCCCTAGCATCAGGAAAGTATCAGCCTCCTACCTGTTGACACCAGAACAGGGGAGGGAAAAATCCCATGCATCCTCTGTAATGCAGAAGCTGCTGAGATAAGCACACTTTCAAAATATTACAGGGCAGCCTGGACCACTGATTACTTACAGCACGAGCAGCTTTGCAAGTTTTGCACACCTACTGTGTGCAAAATGAAAGCTCTTCTTCCTTCATAGTCTCTTAGACTTTCAAGTCAAAAGCAACTAAGTTGCTTATAAATTGATTGTCTTTAACTTGTAACTTTGATCTCTGGTTCTGTTACAGATTTGGACTTGTTTG